ACCAACGTCTGTGGCAGAGGCGTCGATCAATTTCCAATCTATTCCATTTCGTATTTATATAGCGCCATTTCCAGGGCGCTTTAAGATGAAATCCGACGGCGTTCAGTGAGGACGGTGATGGAATGGATGGACAGGGGCTGGGAATGGAGCTGATGTTGCAGGGGTAGGTAGGCCTCGGCAAGGCAAGGTAATTGTACCCTCTTTACCGGGTAAAAAGGTAAAGGTAAAAGTGTCGACATGCCAAGGGGTAAGGGTAAAGGGTAGGGTAAAAGGTAGGCTCGTTGCTTTTTACCTTCTTTTACCTTACCTGCTAAAGGGTAAAAGGTAGGGTAGAGTGATTGTATTGTAAGGTAAAAGGTAGGGTAAAGGTAGGCTCGTTGTTTTTACACTTTTACCTTACCTTGCCGAGGCCTAGGGGTAGGTAAGACAGAATAAGGTGGAATGTGATGGCGAGTTGAGGGTGCCTGACGGGTGCAGCGTGGATGAGAGGTAGTGGGGTATGGGAGTTGTGAAATGCGCGTGGATGAGGATCGGTGGAGGGTGGTCGGGACAGACGTCTGGTGGCCGGACAGTTGAGCCGATGGAGTAGCGTCACCGTAGGGCTGGGGGAGAGATGTGGCCAGACGTCGGAGCCGGGTCAGGAATTAGGGGCTCCGAGTGGGTTCAAGGCGGGCGAACGAACCAGTTGGGGTGGAGGCAGTGGAAGAGAAAACAAGAATGGAATGGACCTGAGCGCCGAGCGAAAGGTGGAACGCGCGAGGGTGAGAGTCTGACGTGGAGTGGGAATTTGTTCCATGGGGCAACGGGGCAAGAAGAGAGAAAAAACGAAAGCGAGACTGGGCACAAATGAAGCCGTGCTTGGAAAAGATTAGAAAGTTCGGCCTTCCAAATCAGACGTGGCCGCTCGACTACGTTCACACGGCGATTCTCAAATCGCGCTCGGACGTTGTTTGTGCCGGTCGACTGCCCACCCGGCAAGGTGGTGCGGGTCACACCGCTCCTGAAACAGAGTTGGCTTGAGCCATTAGTGACCCCGCAAACTGTCGCCCGACCTCAAACCCGAGTACGCGTTCACAAGGTCACAGAGCGCCAGCGTCTGTGACGCGGTCGCGACTTCCTCGCGTCACTGCGATGGGCAGATTCGACTCGTCGCGGGTCGGCGTTCCGGAAGATTCCACAGCACTGAGATGGCTCGACTGAAGATCACCGGTGACCTCTACAGGGTCACTGGTGACCTCTGCAAGATCGCCGGTGACCTCTGCAAGCTCGCCGGTGACCTCTACATGGTCACCGGTGACCTCTGCAAGCTCGCCGGTGACCTCTGCAAGATCGCCGGTGACTTCTACAAGCTCGCCGGTGACCCCTACAAGCTCGCCGGTGACCCCTACAAGATCGCCGGTGACCTCTATAAGATCACCAGTGACCTCTACAAGATTCATCCTCTAGAGGTCACGGACGACCGGAGCGCCGCAGCAATTAGTTTAGCCTCGATCACTCAAAAGCTGCCTTTGACAACATCGATCGCGAGATACGCATCGGGCGGCCAAGGTCAAAGTTCGGCTCTGTGGTGGATTGAGTCGTACCCCCCCCCCCCCCCCGTACGAGCGTGACCTCTGCCCGTGCCGAGTTGACTTACCGCAGGGGCGCGTCCACTGGCTCCACCATCGCCGTGGGATCAGTCCGGGCGATGAGGGAGGCACAGGTGCCGTGCACTTTAAAACGAACCCCCACATCCCGATAGAAAACCTCGTCTGCTTTGCACCCACAGGGTGGTGGTGTGGAGGCCTGGAGATGCTGGAGGTTTACACCACCACCACCACCGGCGGAGTCGTCGTGGTGATGTTGATGGTGGTGATTTTGTGTTCCACAGCTGCGGTTCTTTCAGCGTGGTGGCATTTCAGAGCGCTTCGTACGCACGCAACGCGTACGGTACGTGGACATTGGACTTCTTTCGTGCCGTACGTAGCCAACCGCGCTGATGGGAGGTGCGGGGGAATGACAACAAACTAAACGCAACAACAAGAAGCAGTTCTAGATCAATGCGATTGCCAATCTAGAGGATGAATCACAGCTCCCAGTCGCTTCCCAATATCGGAAGGCAGAGGCGTTCCAGACGGCCACACGCCATTGTAGCAGCGGTCAGCGCAGAGCGAAACGAGGCCACAGACCGGCGGAGAGAGAGGTCATGACCCCACGGTACAGTATATATCGTACAGTGTATAACGCACGTGGTGAGAACATCGCGATTATATTTCATGCGGTCGTTTGATTTCATCGTTTGTAATCTTCTATGTTTCTGACGGACACACACACAGAGCATCGTGTCGTCACCGAGACTAGTCGCAGTTCTAATAAATATCTCCCGTGACCCCAAGCCCAGGTGCTGTGCTTGGTCGATTTTGTGATAACCGCGGCGGCTAAAGGGCCGCCCATAAATGACGTCACCCACCTAGGGGGGGGGGGGGTGGGGGGTCAGACATTTGTGACGATGTGTGACGAGGGGGGGAGGGTTTGAGAATTGTTACGTCACATCAAAATGTGTAACTTTAAATAGATATAGACAACACGTTCTACTTAGTTAAATATACTTTTAATTAATGTTTTCTCCTACAACATTAGAGTGCAGCGCCACATTAAATACGCACTACAATGACAATAGTTTAAAGCGATTTGAAGCATGTTTTATTTTCAAAATGGAAATATGGTTTGGGGGGGGGGGGCTTAGATTTGTGACGTCATATTTGAGGTGTGGGTGGGTGGGTCTGACTTTGTGACGTCATTTATGGACGGCCCCTAAACTCGTGACGCCGTTGGCACCACGGCCAATCGGAATCCCCCGATCCTCGATACAGATTCTCCACCACAACGCGACCACATCGCCCCCGGCTCTTGCACGGCCTCCACGCGAGAGTCTTGGCCCGCATCTAGCTGCTTCGTTTGGGGGGGGGAATTCATGGTCTAGGGCCCCGCACGGTTTGGCTGCCCCATCTAGCTGCTCAATCGACTGAGGTGGGTGGGGGGCCGTCCACTCGAGGCTTGCCTCGCACATAGCTGCTCGGGGGTTATAGGTCAGAGTCCTGGCCTAGCGTCTTGGCTCGCATCTAGCTGCCCAATGGGGAAAGGGGGAGAATTCATAGTTCAGGGCCGCGCACGTGAGTCTTGGCTCGCATCTAGCTGCTCACTTTGCATTGGAGGGGGGTCGAGGGTGGGGTATTCATAGTTCAGGGCCCTGACCTAGAATTTTGGCTCGCATCTAGCTGCCTAACAGGAAAAGGGGGGGTATTCATAGTTCAGGCCACGCGAGTCTTGGTTCGCATCTAGCTGCCCAATGGGAAAAGTGGAGTATTCATAGTTCAGGGCCCCGCACGGGAGTCTTGGCTCGCATCTAGCTGCCCAATGAGAAAAGGAAGAGTGGTTATTCATAGTTCAGGGCCCTGCACGGGAGTCTTGGCTCGCATCTAGATGCTCGACACTAGAGGGGGGAGAGGGGCGGGGTTATTCATGTCTCAGGGCCCCCGCGTTCGCGTGACGTCACCGCTGTGATGAGCACTGACGCCGCCGAGTAGATGTGGAGGGTCACTCCAGGCTCCAGGTCGCTCCAGGCCGCTCCAGGCTCTCCAGGCTCTCCAGGCCGCTCCAGGCTCTCCAGGCTCTCCAGGCCGCTCCAGGCCGCTCCAGGCTCTCCAGGCCGCTCCAGGCTCTCCAGGCTCTCCAGGCTCTCCAGGCTCTCCAGGCTCTCCAGGCTCTCCAGGCCGCTCCAGGCCGCTCCAGGCCTCTCCAGGCTCTCCAGGCTCTCCAGGCTCTCCAGGCCTCTCCAGGCTCTCCAGGCCGCTCCAGGCCGCTCCAGGCCGCTCCAGGCTCTCCAGGCTCTCCAGGCTCTCCAGGCCGCTCCAGGCTCTCCAGGCCGCTCCAGGCCGCTCCAGGCCGCTCCAGGCCGCTCCAGGCCTCTCCAGGCTCTCCAGGCCGCTCCAGGCTCTCCAGGCCTCTCCAGGCTCTCCAGGCCGCTCCAGGCTCTCCAGGCCGCTCCAGGCTCTCCAGGCCGCTCCAGGCTCTCCAGGCTCTCCAGGCCGCTCCAGGCCGCTCCAGGCTCTCCAGGCTCTCCAGGCTCTCCAGGCCGCTCCAGGCCGCTCCAGGCTCTCCAGGCTCTCCAGGCTCTCCAGGCTCTCCAGGCCGCTCCAGGCCGCTCCAGGCTCTCCAGGCCGCTCCAGGCCGCTCCAGGCTCTCCAGGCTCTCCAGGCCGCTCCAGGCCGCTCCAGGCTCTCCAGGCTCTCCAGGCCTCTCCAGGCCGCTCCAGGCTCTCCAGGCTCTCCAGGCCGCTCCAGGCCGCTCCAGGCTCTCCAGGCTCTCCAGGCTCTCCAGGCCTCTCCAGGCTCTCCAGGCCGCTCCAGGCCGCTCCAGGCTCTCCAGGCTCTCCAGGCTCTCCAGGCCGCTCCAGGCTCTCCAGGCCGCTCCAGGCTCTCCAGGCCGCTCCAGGCTCTCCAGGCTCTCCAGGCCTCTCCAGGCTCTCCAGGCTCTCCAGGCTCTCCAGGCTCTCCAGGCCGCTCCAGGCCGCTCCAGGCCGCTCCAGGCTCTCCAGGCTCTCCAGGCCGCTCCAGGCCTCTCCAGGCCGCTCCAGGCTCTCCAGGCTCTCCAGGCTCTCCAGGCCTCTCCAGGCCTCTCCAGGCCGCTCCAGGCTCTCCAGGCCTCTCCAGGCCGCTCCAGGCTCTCCAGGCTCTCCAGGCTCTCCAGGCTCTCCAGGCTCTCCAGGCCTCTCCAGGCTCTCCAGGCTCTCCAGGCTCTCCAGGCTCTCCAGGCTCTCCAGGCCTCTCCAGGCCTCTCCAGGCCGCTCCAGGCTCTCCAGGCCTCTCCAGGCCGCTCCAGGCTCTCCAGGCCGCTCCAGGCTCTCCAGGCTCTCCAGGCCGCTCCAGGCTCTCCAGGCCTCTCCAAGGCTCTCCAGGCTCTCCAGGCCTCTCCAGGCTCTCCAGGCCTCTCCAGGCTCTCCAGGCCTCTCCAGGCTCTCCAGGCCTCTCCAGGCTCTCCAGGCTCTCCAGGCTCTCCAGGCTCTCCAGGCCTCTCCACTGCGGCGGGGACGAGGGGATGGAGGAGGAGGAGGGGAGTCTGAATGGACGAGGTGCCGCTCGCAGCCCCCACCCTCAACCCCCTCACCCCCCCCCACTACCCCCCCCCCTCTAACCCCCCCCCCCCCTCTAACCCCCACGTCTCGACCCCCCCCCTCATCCCCCCCCCCTCTCATCCCTCCCCTCTGACCCACACACACACCACACACACACCACACACACCACACCACACACACACCACACAAACACACCACATACACCACACACCACACCAACACACACACACCACACACACACACCACACACACCACACACACACACCACACACACACACACACCACACACCAACACACACACCACAACACACAAACCAACACACACCACACACACCACACACACACCAACACACACCACACCTCCACACTTAACAACAACAACAACCGCCATTCGCCACTAAGTGGCGGTGACGTCACCACGACGCTTGTGCCAGGCCAAGTGCACCTTGAGGCCACGTGAAGTGTCGAACGCCCACTGGCAGGAGGTCACGGGGCAGACCGAGCAGGTGCCACGGGTCGACTGACCGAGATGACCGAGATGACCGGCTGATGCACCACCTGTGCCCCCTACTGTGCCAACTTGCTGTGCTTTAGCCACCCGGCGCTCCGCTCGTTGTTGTGAGCGTCGCTCCTCCGCCCTCCGTTGTTGTTGGAGGGCGACTATGCTAATTTCTTTGATAGTGAATTGTCTTTGAGCTGTACGCCTTTCGGCGTCATCTGATCGAGCACCAATTGAGACGAGGCTCAAAAGAAAGCTGTCTCTGGTGTGGACCAATCAGTTTCAAGGGCAATGCATCATACGATCAGTGTGTTTTTTTTCGCATTTTGACTGCAAGTATTGTGGTTAATGATGTTACATGAATTCTCGTAAAAAGGTTTCAGTTCTGTTGCCAGAAAAAAGGGGAAAAACCCTATTATCATATTTTGGTACTGGCAAAGCAGGTCTAATGATGTGGGCTTGAATGGGGTCCTGGATGTACACCCACCAGCTAAATGGAAGAATGGCAGGTGCATTTCACAGATGACAAGGCGATGGTCAGTGGCAGATCAGCTCCACGGTAGGTTCTGGTGTTAAGGACATGGGCCCGCATCCGCTGATCCGTCACGATGTAATCCAGCAGATGTTCTTGCTTGGACCCGGCGTGCATCCATGATGTTGTGTGGATGCGCCGATCCTGGAACAGCGTGTTAGTAATTACAAGCCCATGAGCTCCACAAAAGTGTTGCAGCCACCTACCGTTGTTATTGAGCTGATCTGGCCCATGCCTCCCAATCACTCCAGACCAGGTGCCAGCATCATGACCAACTGAGGGATTTAAGTCACCCAACAAGATGACTCTGTCCCGAGTGGCCACCTTAGCCAGCACCTTTGACAGGAGGTCATAGAAGGCATCTAACTCATTGACCTTGCCTGCATCCCTCCACTGATGTTCATCTTCAGTGGGGGCATAAGTAACCACCACCACCACTCATCGCCTCTGGTTGATGGGAAGGCGAGCCCAAACTAGCCTGGGGCTTACAGCTTCCCACACCTCACCACCACACTCACACACTCCTTGCATTATTTTGTTCAGAAGAGCCACACCCTGTTGTTTGGCAGTCTCCTGCCCCGAGTGGAGGACTGTCCACCCCTCATGGTGGCAGGAGCCAGAGCCGGTCTACCGGACCTCCTGAATACCACAGAGATCCAGGCGGTACCAGTCCAGCTCCCGACAGAGGAGTGGCAGCCTCTCCTCCGCAGTGAGCGTTCGAACATTCCACGTGGCCACACGAAGTGGTTTTTCGCTGTTTCTGGAGGAACCCCGAGAATAGGAATTCAATCTCCTGGCTCCGCCAAATGGGACTTGGCCAGGAGACTTCATGGACGCCTGTCCCCCCGGGGCCTCTGGCACAAACTTCGGTTGATTTTTTTTCATGGTTTAGCGATAATGAATTGAAGGTGCAGAGGTTACCAGCCCCTCGTACCCGTTCAGAGCCCCTTTTGGCCGCTGTGGTGGCTACAATCGCCATGAGGGGAACGGCCAATCAGAATCGGCCCTCCCCCCATGGCACTACTCACCACAGCCAGACACACAGAAACCCACAGACACACAGAGACCCACCGACACCCAGGGGCCTCAAAGACATCCAGACCCACAGAGTCCTACAGACACCCAAACCCACAGAGATCCACAGACACCCAGACCCATTGACACCCACAGAGACCCACAGAGACCAACAGATTAGCACGATTTGCTATGTGCGGCGCGAAATAAGTTCAACATACAAACACATACATAGAGACTCACAGACACTCAGACCCATGGAGACCAACAGAGACCAATACAACCTCATAGAGAGACCCACAGACACCCACAGACACCCACAGACACCCAGACCCACGGAGACACCCATAGAGTCCCACAGAGACACACAGATCAGCACGGTTGGCTACGTACGGTACGGAAGAAGTTCAACATTCACAGAGTGCCTGAGACTTGAGCGTGAGCATGGTGCTGGCTGGTGAGTTGTGTATCTCTCACTCTCTCTGTATCTCTCTCTCTCTCTGTATCTCTCTCTGTCTCTCACTCTCTCTGTCTCTCACTCTCTCTGTCTCTCACTCTCTCTGTCTCTCTCTGTCTCTCACTCTCTCTGTCTCTCTCTGTCTCTCTATCTCTGTCTCTCTCTGTGGTTCCATCAGACGTGGTTGAGGCTCACCGTGGTGACTCAGGACTGAGAGGTGCCTCTTCCCGGAGCCCGGCCCAGGTGGAGGTTGCCTTGGAGGAGGACGACGACGACGCCGATGCCGACGACAGCGGCGACAACGACGATGACGACGACGATGATCAGAGCGGTGAGGCGGTCCCCGACTTTGCGTCTCGTTCACGACGCTCGGCTCAACGGCCAGGAGGAATCTCCGGCGACAAGAACGCCGCGTCCGTGAGCTCACGGCGAGTCCTCACGTCACGCGCGAGCAGCACTAGGAGATGATGCTGGCACTTGCGTTGAACTTCCATCGCACCGTACAAAGCCAACCGTGCTAATCTGTGGGTCTCTGTGGGTGTCTCTGTAGTGGTGATACGCGCTGGCAGTAGGGATCGTGTGGCAGCGCGTGGTGATTGGCTATGTAGTGGTGACACGCGCTGGCAGTAGGGATCGTGTGGCAGCGCGTGGTGATTGGCTATGTAGTGGTGACACGCGCTGGCAGTAGGGATCGTGTGGCAGCGCGTGGTGATTGGCTATGTAGTGGTGACACGCGCTGGCAGTAGGGATCGTGTGGCAGCGCGTGGTGATTGGCTATGTAGTGGTGACACGCGCTGGCAGTAGGGATCGTGTGGCAGCGCGTGGTGATTGGCTATGTAGTGGTGACACGCGCTGGCAGTAGGGATCGTGTGGCAGCGCGTGGTGATTGGCTATGTAGTGGTGACACGCGCTGGCAGTAAGGGATCGTGTGGCAGCGCCTGGTGATTGGCTATGTGGTGGTGACACGCGCTGGCAGTAAGGGATCGTGTGGCAGCGCCTGGTGATTGGCTATGTAGTGGTGACACGCGCTGGCAGTAGGGATCGTGTGGCAGCGCGTGGTGATTGGCTATGTAGTGGTGACACGCGCTGGCAGTAAGGGATCGTGTGGCAGCGCCTGGTGATTGGCTATGTGGTGGTGACACGCGCTGGCAGTAAGGGATCGTGTGGCAGCGCGTGGTGATTGGCTATGTAGTGGTGACACGCGCTGGCAGTAAGGGATCGTGTGGCAGCGCCTGGTGATTGGCTATGTGGTGGTGACACGCGCTGGCAGTAAGGGATCGTGTGGCAGCGCGTGGTGATTGGCTATGTAGTGGTGACACGCGCTGGCAGTAGGGATCGTGTGGCAGCGCCTGGTGATTGGCTATGTGGTGGTGACACGCGCTGGCAGTAAGGGATCGTGTGGCAGCACGTGGTGATTGGCTATGTAGTGGTGACACGCGCTGGCAGTAGGGATCGTGTGGCAGCGCGTGGTGATTGGCTATGTAGTGGTGACACGCGCTGGCAGTAGGGATCGTGTGGCAGCGCGTGGTGATTGGCTATGTAGTGGTGACACGCGCTGGCAGTAGGGATCGTGTGGCAGCGCGTGGTGATTGGCTATGTAGTGGTGACACGCGCTGGCAGTAGGGATCGTGTGGCAGCGCGTGGTGATTGGCTATGTAGTGGTGACACGCGCTGGCAGTAGGGATCGTGTGGCAGCGCGTGGTGATTGGCTATGTAGTGGTGACACGCGCTGGCAGTAAGGGATCGTGTGGCAGCGCCTGGTGATTGGCTATGTGGTGGTGACACGCGCTGGCAGTAAGGGATCGTGTGGCAGCGCCTGGTGATTGGCTATGTAGTGGTGACACGCGCTGGCAGTAGGGATCGTGTGGCAGCGCGTGGTGATTGGCTATGTAGTGGTGATACGCGCTGGCAGTAGGGATCGTGTGGCAGCGCGTGGTGATTGGCTATGTGGTGGTGACACGCGCTGGCAGTAAGGGATCGTGTGGCAGTGCCTGGTGATTGGCTATGTAGTGGTGACACGCGCTGGCAGTAGGGATCGTGTGGCAGCGCCTGGTGATTGGCTATGTAGTGGTGACACGCGCTGGCAGTAGGGATCGTGTGGCAGCGCCTGGTGATTGGCTATGTGGTGGTGACACGCGCTGGCAGTAAGGGATCGTGTGGCAGCGCGTGGTGATTGGCTATGTGGTGGTGACACGCGCTGGCAGTAAGGGATCGTGTGGCAGCGCCTGGTGATTGGCTATGTGGTGGTGACACGCGCTGGCAGTAAGGGATCGTGTGGCAGCGCGTGGTGATTGGCTATGTGGTGGTGACACGCGCTGGCAGTAAGGGATCATGTGGCAGCGCCTGGTGATTGGCTATGTAGTGGTGACACGCGCTGGCAGTAAGGGATCGTGTGGCAGCGCGTGGTGATTGGCTATGTAGTGGTGACACGCGCTGGCAGTAGGGATCGTGTGACAGCGCGTGGTGATTGGCTATGTAGTGGTGACACGCGCTGGCAAAAGGGATCGTGTGGCAGCGCCTGGTGATTGGCTATGTAGTGGTGACACGCGCTGGCAGTAAGGGATCGTGTGGCAGCGCGTGGTGATTGGCTATGTAGTGGTGACACGCGCTGGCAGTAGGGATCGTGTGGCAGCGCGTGGTGATTGGCTATGTAGTGGTGACACGCGCTGGCAGTAGGGATTGTGTGGCAGCGCGTGGTGATTGGCTATGTAGTGGTGACACGCGCTGGCAGTAAGGGATCGTGTGGCAGCGCCTGGTGATTGGCTATGTAGTGGTGACACGCGCTGGCAGTAAGGGATCGTGTGGCAGCGCGTGGTGATTGGCTATGTAGTGGTGACACGCGCTGGCAGTAAGGGATCGTGTGGCAGCGCGTGGTGATTGGCTATGTAGTGGTGACACGCGCTGGCAGTAAGGGATCGTGTGGCAGCGCCTGGTGATTGGCTTTGTGGTGGTGACACGCGCTGGCAGTAAGGGATCGTGTGGCAGCGCGTGGTGATTGGCTATGTAGTGGTGACACGCGCTGGCAGTAAGGGATCGTGTGGCAGCGCGTGGTGATTGGCTATGTAGTGGTGACACGCGCTGGCAGTAAGGGATCGTGTGGCAGCGCGTGGTGATTGGCTATGTAGTGGTGACACGCGCTGGCAGTAGGGATCGTGTGGCAGCGCGTGGTGATTGGCTATGTAGTGGTGACACGCGCTGGCAGTAGGGATCGTGTGGCAGCGCGTGGTGATTGGCTATGTAGTGGTGACACGCGCTGGCAGTAGGGATCGTGTGGCAGCGCGTGGTGATTGGCTATGTAGTGGTGACACGCGCTGGCAGTAGGGATCGTGTGGCAGCGCGTGGTGATTGGCTATGTGGTGGTGACACGCGCTGGCAGTAGCGATCGTGTGGCAGCGCGTGGTGATTGGCTATGTAGTGGTGACACGCGCTGGCAGTAAGGGATCGTGTGGCAGCGCCTGGTGATTGGCTTTGTGGTGGTGACACGCGCTGGCAGTAAGGGATCGTGTGACAGCGCCTGGTGATTGGCTATGTAGTGGTGACACGCGCTGGCAGTAAGGGATCGTGTGGCAGCGCGTGGTGATTGGCTATGTAGTGGTGACACGCGCTGGCAGTAAGGGATCGTGTGGCAGCGCCTGGTGATTGGCTTTGTGGTGGTGACACGCGCTGGCAGTAAGGGATCGTGTGGCAGCGCCTAGTGATTGGCTATGTGGTGGTGACACGCGCTGGCAGTAAGGGATCGTGTGGCAGCGCCTGGTGATTGGCTATGTAGTGGTGACACGCGCTGGCAGTAAGGGATCGTGTGGCAGCGCGTGGTGATTGGCTATGTAGTGGTGACACGCGCTGGCAGTAGGGATCGTGTGGCAGCGCGTGGTGATTGGCTATGTAGTGGTGACACGCGCTGGCAGTAGGGATCGTGTGGCAGCGCGTGGTGATTGGCTATGTGGTGGTGACACGCGCTGGCAGTAGGGATCGTGTGGCAGCGCGTGGTGATTGGCTATGTAGTGGTGATACGCGCTGGCAGTAAGGGATCGTGTGGCAGCGCCTGGTGATTGGCTATGTAGTGGTGACACGCGCTGGCAGTAGGGATCGTGTGGCAGCGCGTGGTGATTGGCTATGTAGTGGTGACACGCGCTGGCAGTAGGGATCGTGTGGCAGCGCGTGGTGATTGGCTATGTAGTGGTGACACGCGCTGGCAGTAAGGGATCGTGTGGCAGCACGTGGTGATTGGCTATGTGGTGGTGACACGCGCTGGCAGTAAGGGATCGTGTGGCAGCGCCTGGTGATTGGCTATGTGGTGGTGACACGCGCTGGCAGTAAGGGATCGTGTGGCAGCGCGTGGTGATTGGCTATGTAGTGGTGACACGCGCTGGCAGTAGGGATCGTGTGGCAGCGCGTGGTGATTGGCTATGTGGTGGTGATACGCGCTGGCAGTAAGGGATCGTGTGGCAGCGCCTGGTGATTGGCTATGTGGTGGTGACACGCGCTGGCAGTAAGGGATCGTGTGGCAGCGCGGGGTGATTGGCTATGTAGTGGTGACACGCGCTGGCAGTAAGGGATCATGTGGCAGCGCGTGGTGATTGGTCACCTCGAGTGGGTGCTCACATCGCGGTCCACATAGGCTCCGCCCCCTCGGGAGCGGAGGGCTATGAAAGGCGATGCGCGCGGGTGCTCGGGGAGTTGGTAACCAGTGAAGACGGAAGACGGAGGAGGAAGAGATAGGGCCCTGAGACCCCTAGCCCCGCTGTCCTTGTAAGGGCCGGGACCCTGTGTGGCTCAGAGGCGGGACCTTGGGACCCGCGGCCGGACGTCCGTGTGAGGGCCGGGCTGCGGGACCCAGTGGTCGTGACCCATACCCCAGCCGGGGTGGGTCTGTGAGTTCCCCTGGAAGCTACGGGGTCGGAGAGCCCGTGTGTGTGTAGCCGGGTGGAACGCGTAGCGTGAGATGTAGTTGTCCACACGTGTTATTGTGGCTAAAGAAAGTGTTAATAAAGTGTGCTACCCGTCAAGTGGTCTCCCGCCGTAATTTACTATATTACATCTCTATGGGTCTGGGTGTCTGTGGGTCTCTGTGGGTGTCTATGGGTCTGGGTGTCTGTGGGTCTCTGTGGGTGTCTCTATGGGTCTGGGTGTCTGTGGGTCTCTGTGGGTGTCTCTATGGGTCTGGGTGTCTGTGGGTCTCTGTGGGTGTCTCTATGGGTCTGGGTGTCTGTGGGTCTCTGTGGGTGTCTCTATGGGTCTGGGTGTCTGTGGGTCTCTGTGGGTGTCTCTATGGGTCTGGGTGTCTGTGGGTCTCTGTGGGTGTCTCTATGGGTCTGGGTGTCTGTGGGTCTCTATGGGTGTCTCTATGGGTGTCTTTATGGGTCTGGGTGTCTGTGGGTCTCTGTGTGTGTGTGTACGTTGAACGTCACGGAGCCAATCGCGCTAATCGGAGGTGCGGGGGAATGACAACAAACTGAACACAACAACAACGACAACAACAAGAAGCAGTTCTAAAGAATTTAGTTTGTCAATATAGACCATGATGATAGAAAAGTGGCGAAGCTCCCAGTGGCTCCGGGAACAGTCGTCATCGTCATAATCGTCATCGTTATAATCGTCATCGTTATAATCGTCATCGTTATAATCGTCATCGTTATAATCGGCGTTGTTCTGACCGACATCGCAGATGCCGGGAGGCCGCCGGGCCTGGCGCTCCGGGGGGCCGCGTCCGGCCAGGCGCCCAGCCAGGCATCCAGCCAGGCCTCCAGCCAGGGGACCAGCCAGGGGACTAGCCAGGCGTTCAGCCAGGCGTTCAGCCAGGCGTCCAGCCAGGCGCCCAGCCAGGCGCCCAGCCAGGCGCCCAGCCAGGCGTCCAGTGGGTGTCGCCGCTCGCCCCTGCGAGCTCGCCCCTCCGCGGCGAGGAGACGCCACCACGACTCCTCCTGCTCCTCCTCGTCGTCGTCGTCATCGTGGTTCGCCAGCGGCGATGTGGACTTGGTGTGCGAGGAGTGTGGGATGTGCTTCGGGGATCCCCTCTTCTTCGACCGGCACCGGCGGCTGCACAGGCGATCGGGGAGCGGCACGGAGCCGCCGCCGACACCGCCCGGTGACGGTGACGGTGGCGGCCGCCCCCTGGGAGACGGAGCTGCTCCCATCGGAGTCTCCCAAGCGGAGCAGAATTCCAGGGGGCCTGCCGGGAACGAGCCGGAGCCACCGCTGCTACCGCCGCCGCTGCTGCCGCATCGTCGGCATCGGCATTGTCGGCATCGTGATCCTCGTCATCGGTGTGACCCCTGCCGCCGCCGCCGCCAGCAGCAGCGGCAGCAGCAGCAGCAGCAGCTGCAGCGGGCGACGGTGGAGTGGCTGTGGCAGTGCAACGAGTGCAAGTGCGGATTCCCCACCATCGCCGTGCTCAAGCGACACCTGCGGGCGCACGACGAAGACGACGCCACCGGCACCGGCACCGTGCGGGGCGAGCCGGCGCAGCAGCAGGCGCACTTCACCATGATCGCCTACGCCGGACACGGGCGCCTGCGGACGCCGGCGCCGGGGGTCGGCACGGACGCGGGGACGGGGGCGGCGGCGCGGGGACAGGGGCCGGGCGGTGGCGGTGGTGGTGTCGGTGGTGGTGGTGGTGGCGGTGGAGCGAGAGACGGAGGGCCATCGGCCCTGGTGAAGCTGGAGGGCGTGGAAGGGGAGGACCGAGGTACGCTGGTGGTAACGCCGGGAGTAACGCCGGGGGTGTACTGTGGGTACGCTGGTGGTGACACCGGGGGTGTACTGTGGGTACGCTGGTGGTAACGGCAGGGGTGTACTGTGGGTACGCTGGTGGTAACGCCGGGGGTGTACTGTAGGTACGCTGGTGGTAACGCCGGGAGTGTACTGTGGGTACGCTGGTGGTAACGCCGGGGGTGTACTGTGGGTACGCTGGTGGTAACGCCGGGAGTGTACTGTGGGTACGCTGGTGGTAACTCCGGGGTGTACTGTGGGTACGCTGGTGGTAACACCGGGAGTGTACCGTGGGTACGCTGGTGGTAACGCCGGGGGTGTACCGTGGGTACGCTGGTGGTAACGCCGGGGGTAACGCCGGGAGTGTACTGTGGGTACGCTGGTGGTAACGCCAGGAGTGTACTGTGGGTACGCTGGTGGTAACACTGTGGGTGTACTGTGGGTACGCTGGTGGTAACACCGGGGGCGGTGACGGGGCGTGTCTAACGGCTACCCCTCATACCCCCCCACCCCCCTACCTCCTGCGTGCCCCCCCCCCAGCCCAGGGGCACCCCTCGGAGACAGGGCCCCCCCCCCCAGGGGGAACGGGGGAGGGGTCGGTGGTGGGGGCCGGCTGGGGCCCACAGCCGGCGCCGGCAGTCAGCAAGATCGGTGAGACCCACTCTGCTCTGCTCTGTGCTTCTTTCGGCAAAGTCACGTGGGTAGAAATAAAATGATGTAAAACAAAACAAACCACGACGTTTCGATGGCAACGCAGGCGATCCTCATCGGCAAGACAAACGCTGGAGTGGGCGAGAGAGCTGCCGTGGCAAGAGGTTATATAGGTAGGAAAGGTGGGGGGGGGGCAAGGGGGGAGAAAGGGGGGTAGGGGAATGGGGGGGGCTGCGTGAGCGCGAGGGGGAGAAGAAGTGAGGCTGGGTGGGGCTAGTAGTGGGACACGGCGGGGAAAGTGACTCGGAAAAATCTACCAGTACCCAGCGGACAAGATGAAAACAACTACAACAGTGAAGGCTTTATCTTCTTGGTTCTTTCGGTAAAGTCACGTAGAATGGAAACAATAAAAATAGACAGACCTGGTCGTGAGAATTATTTTATTATGTTTTATGGTCTTCACCTGATGACCGCTGCTTGCGTTGTGGCCGAAACGTCGTGAGAATTATTTTATTATGTTTTATTTTATTATTTTTATTGTTTCCATTCTACGTGACTTTACAGAACGAACCAAGAAGATGAATCCCTGCAGTCACGAAAGCTTTACATCGAAAAGTGAAGGCTTTACCTGGTTAATAACATCCTTCCAATGATTGCTCAACTTGTATCCATCCTCTCGGTTCAAGTTATATTTCTATATCTGGATGGTTTCATGAACAAACCTTTGATGGTAGCCCGAAGGTTTGCAGAGCACCTTGGTCTCGGAAAAGTCAATATCACGCGAGCCCGCAGCGTTGTAGCAGTGGTCAGCCGCGGCAGAGGTGTTGGTTCTGCCGTGTTGTAGATCTGCTTTGTGTTCGCGGACACGGTCCGAGGCGTGTTGTTTCGTATCCTCAATGCGACTGCTACCGCAGGTGCCCCTCAGTTTGTAGACTCCAGGGTACTGCAAGTCAAGAATGACCCCCTTCACGGACGGGATTAGATCACGGATTGTGTTTCCTGTCTTGATCTGAAACGTCGTGTTTTCTTTTACTCTATAATTTTTTCAATCTACGTGACTTTACCGAAAGAACCAGGGATTCATCTTCTTGGTTCTTTCGGTAAAGTCACGTAGAAGGGAAGTAATAAAATAATACAAATAAAACATAATAAAATAATTCTCACGACGTTTCGGCCACAACGCAAGCAGCCGTCCTCAGGTGAAAACCAGGTCTGTCGGGGAGACAGCGTCTGAATGAAACAGCACACGAGCTTGGAGCATATATATAAGCTGGGTTGGGAGGGGGGGAAAGGGCGCTTCGACAAAAGAATTTGCATATCAAGAGGAATTTAGCATATTTATGGGAAATGCAGGAATGTGATTAGTACTACATATGCCCGTGCATTATGCAGGATTAGCAGCATCAAAGGGAGGGGATATGGGAAATGCAGGTATGTGATTAGTACTACTTATGCCCGTGCATTATGCAGGCTTAGCAGCATCAAAGGGAGGGGATATGGGAAATGCAGGTATGTGATTAGTACTACTTGTGCCCGTGCATTATGCAGAACCAGGGAGTTTGTGTCTACCGTATTTAATTCTCCAAACCGGCCGATCCCCGGGTCCCGCCGGCAGGCAGGCGACCGATGACGCTGCCCCAGTGCCTGCAGATCATCGCGCTGCTGGACCGCCGGTGGTCGCAGGACTCCATCGCCCGGCTCTTCGGCACGTCGCAGTCTCGCATCTCCCGCATCAACTGCAGCCGCCGCCTCATCCTTGACGCAGCCCGGGAGAAGGGGGGGGGCACCGGGGGGGGAGACTCCACCGCCGCCACCACCGCCGCCACCACCGCCGCCATCACCACCGCCACCACCACCACCGCCACCACCGCCACCACCGCCATCACGGCGGCGAGGGACGGCACCGGCAGCCGCTACGCCTGCGCCCGCTGCGGCTCGGCCTTCTTCACGCCGGCCGAGCTGGGCCAGCACCAGCGTGGCGGCGGCGGCAGCTGCGGCGACATGTGGCAGTGGCGCTGCGACTCGTGCGGCGAGCGCTTTGTGCTGCTGGCGCACCTCAAGGACCACCAGCACGCCCGCCACGGCGCTCGCCAGCGTGGGGCCCGGGGAGGCCGCGAGGGTCGGGCGGCCGAGCCGGTGCCGGCGCCGCAGTACACGCTCGTCTCTAACTTCGGGCCACCGCGGTGGGGGGGCGGCGCTGGCGGCCTCGGGGCGCCGGCGGTGGTGGGGGGCGAGGGGGACACGGCCGGAGAGCGGTGGCAGCGGCAAGAGGGGAAGGAGGAGGAGGGGGGGGAGGAGGAGATGTCTACAGACAGCTCCTCCACCCCGAGCGGCGTGCTCACAGAGAGGGGATCCGGCAAAGTGAAGGAGGAGGGTCCCTCCATGCGGACGACGGTGGCGGTGAAGGTGGAGCGCCAGGATGACGGTTACGGTGAGTCCCCGTCTCGCGCCACGGTGGCTACGAGATGTTAACTACCTCGCCTGGTGTGCAGGAGGTCGTGGGTGCCATCCCGACCCTGACGCCACGGTGGGTAGGAGATGTTGACTACCTCGCCTGGTGTGCAGGAGGTCGGGAGGGACAGACGGACGGAGCAGTGTTGGTGGTAGTGAAGGTGGAGGTGGTGGTGGAGGTTTTATTGTCGCGTTTGCGTCGTGGGCGTCTGTCTGGCTGCTGCTGCTGGTGGTGCTGCTACTGCTGCTACTGCTGATGGTGCTGATGGTGCTACTGCTGCTACTACTTCTACTGCTGATGGTGCTACTGCTGCTACTACTTCTACTGCTGCTACTGCTGCCGCTATAGACGTGGGAGAGGCAGAGGCGATGGCGGCGCTGGGTGGCGACGGTGGCCTCCCGGTGAAGGAGGAGGAGGTGATGGGGGAGGTGGTGAAGGAGGAGGAGGTGGTGAAGGAGGAGGAGGTGGTGAAGGAGGAGGTGATGGGGGAGGAGGAGGTGGTGAAGGAGGAGGTGAAGGAGGAGGTGATGGGGGAGGAGGAGGTGGTGGAGGAGCAGCAGCAGAGGCCTGCGGAGGTGGTAGTGGAGTTGGAGGACACGAGGAAAGGTGAGTCCAGCTCCCACAGAGCCTGTGCCCCCCCCCCCTCCCACGTCCATAGCAGCAGCAGCAGCAGTAGTGGCAGCAGTAGCAGCAGCAGCAGTAGTAGTAGCAGCAGCAGCAGTAGTAGCAGCAGTAGTAGCAGTAGTAGCAGCAGCAGCAGCAGTAGTAGCAGCAGTAGTAGCAGCAGCAGCAGTAGTAGCAGCAGTAGTAGCAGTAGTAGCAGCAGCAGCAGTAGCAGCAGTAGTAGCAGCAGCAGCAGCAGTAGTAGCAACAGTAGCAGCAGTAGTAGCAGCAGTAGCAGCAGCAGTAGTAGTAGCAGTAGCAGCAGCAGCAGTAGTAGCAGCAGTAGAAGTAGCAGCAGTAGAAGTAGCAGCAGCAGCAGTAGTAGCAGCAGCAGTAGAAGTAGCAGCAGCAGCAGCAGTAGTAGCAGTAGTAGCAGTAGTAGTAGCAGTAGCAGCAGCAGTAGCAGCAGCAGTAGTAGCAGCAGTAGTAGTAGCAGCAGCAGTAACAGCAGTAGCAGCAGCGACACAGGCACATCCAGACGGCCGCCACATCCACAGGCTGTGCCAGGCTCAACTTAAGAGAAAACGTTCAAGTCGGGGTTCTTGCTACCAATGTTTAGACTTTTACACTTTCCTTAGGCACCGAGTGTCGTACAGCCGGAACATCGCCCCCCTCGGCGTGCCGCCCCCCCCCCCCAGGCGCCGGCAAGGGCCGCCACGCTTGCCCCGACTGCGGCCGCCGCTTCGGCAGCCGTTCGAACCTCGCCAAGCACCGGCGTTCGCACGGCGACCGGCGTTCGTTCCGGTGCGGCGGCGGCGGCGACGGCGACGCCACCGCGACACCTCGCCGCTGAGCTCATCGACACGGAGCGACGTGAAGCATCGTCGCGTTATCGGCGGCAGCGGCTTGTGGCGAAGCCTTCGGACAAAGACGGCATCGTCGCGCGGCGCTTTCAGATTGCGCTGCTTTTGCGGCCGTCTGGAACGCGCTCTTCCTTCCGATGTGAGGAAGCCATTGGGAGCTGTGCACTCTAGAGTCTTCACCTGGATTGACAAACTCATCTCTTCAGCACTTGTTGTCGTGTTTAGTTTGTTGACACCCACATAGACCCACAGAGACCCACAGAGACTCACAGAGACACACAGAGACCCATAGAGACCCATAGAGACCCATAGAGACCCACAGAGACCCACAGAGACCCACAGAGACACACAGAGACACACAGAGACACACAGAGACCCATAGAGACCCACAGAGACCTACATAGACCCACAGAGACTCACAGAGACACACAGAGACACACAGAGACACACAGAGACACACAGAGACCCACAGAGACCCATAGAGACCCACAGAGACACACAGAGACACACAGATTAGCAAGGTTGGCTACGTACGGCGGTGCGAAAGCAGCTCAACGGACATCTTGAAATTCACAGCCACAGCCACAGCAGCAAGGAGATCCTAGATTTGAAGCTTTCGTGACTGCAAGGATTCATACTCTTAGTTCTTTCGGTAAAGTCACGTAGGTAAAAGTTGAAATTAAAATTAATAAAAAATAAAAACAATAAAATCACGACGTTTCGGAGGCAACACAAGCGTCCGTCTTCAGGTGAAACTGTCACAGCAAAAAATCTGTATCAAGTGAAGAGAAGTTTCACCTGAAGACGGAAGCTTGTGTTGCCTCCGAAACGTCGTGATTTTATTGTTTTTATTTTTTATAAATTTTAATTTCATTTTTTACCTACATGGTGACTTTACCGAAAGAACTAAGAGTATCAAGGAGATCGTTGGCCGAGTCGTCTTTTGCGAGCGACGTCGTTGTTGTTTTTGATGATCTTCAGCGTAGTTGAACGTTGGTGCTGCGGCGTTTCTGGACGGGACGTAGCTCCCCTGGGATGTACCGCAGGTGACGATGCAGGCGGCAACGATTGGACAAGTGGAGAATTCGGCGTGGACGTGACGGAGGACGCGGGGTCAGGGTAAAGTTGTACACAAATATGTAAATATTCATTTTTTTTTACTCTCAACCGAAAATTTTAATAACACGAATGTGTGGAAAATGTCGCCGGCAAACGTAACGAGTATTTAAGCAAAACCCGCGTCCGGTTCTTCTCGTTGGCGAGCTTTGCGTGCGCGTCACGGCGTCGTGCGAGCGCGTAGCCGAGTTTTCGCCGCGTTGGGTGCTAAACACACGTGACGCTTGAACATTAAACGCCGGCGTGGTCTTTAAACGCGGAGGCGACGTGGAACGTGAATCGTTTGAGCGATTGTGAAAACAGTGGGTTCCTAACCCTTTCTGGTAATAAACGCCAACACACGCACGGCCATTGCGAGGCATCATCAAGTCTGCTTTAACCGCACACAGGACTTGTGGCATAACGTTCTGATAAAACTGGTCGACAACAAACAAAAAATCTCCTAATCTCAACTTGTTACCTGTATAAAAGACACCTGTTCCCAGAAGCAATCAATCAATCAGTTTCCTAACTCTCCACCATGGCCAAGACCAAAGAGCTCTCCAAGGATGTCAGGGACAAGATTGTAGACCTACACCTATTTACGAATTGTCTCGGGTGTGGGCCAATCAACTTCAAGGACAGTGCATACATTATCAGAGTTGTGTTTTTTGTTTGCATTATGACTGCAGGTATTGTGGTCTATGCAAACATGACTCCTTGTAAAAAAGGTGTCAGGTTTGTTGCAAATCCCATTCTTAAAGGTATGAAGCCTGTTCCTAAGTCGGCGGTGGCGAGATGTTAACTACATCGCCCGGTATGCTGGAGGTCGTGGGTTCGATCCCGACGCCTGCTGCTGTATATTCGGAGTCTGCGTGTCTCTCTCTCTCTCTCTCTCCTCGTGGTCGCGTGGAATTTTCTCCGGGTCCTCCGTTTCTTTCCCTCCCGCCATGCGACTCGATCAACGGCAACAAAAACCCACACAGGGAGTGGCAATGGGAGGCGGCGTTTATCACAAACATCACACGAGCAGAGCTACTCCACACATCGCGGTTATAAGCGTTACTACCGTATACGCTAAATGACGACGATAAACAGGTCCCTGCGGGGTGGGCTGGTAGGAACGAACAAATGAATGGCTATAATAAAATGAAATGGCGGGGGTACGATACGAAGGGATAGTTTGAGGCCTAGTTCTAGGCTTTAGGCCTAGCTGTAGGCTTTAGGCCGCTGTGAGTTAAATTTAAATGTTTTAATTAAAAACTATCTCAGGGAATTATAAGGGAATGTTACACTTGTTTAGCCAGGAAAGCCTCACTGAGTCTAAAGGTTTTTGTAGGGTCCTGCCAAGTGTTTGCAGTAGGGGGCGATGTTGTTACACCTAATCGGACATCGGACGGACGGACGGACGATATAATCTATTGTAGGCTGGTTCACTTCGTTCCTACCAGTATAACGAGCTCCTCCAAGCAAAGCACAACAGGGCATGGCTGGTGGCTATTTCACAAAAAACTCTCACGACATCGCGAATAAGCAACTCCAGCCTGCGTTTCTCCCCCATCACGCCGAGGTGGTGGTGGTTGTTTTCAGAACGCGAATCCGATATCTGCAGCAACTACGATGAACGTTGCGTTAGGGAAGGCGTTTTTAAACGACACGGATTGGATCCAGAGATTGTAACGCGAGTAGGGAGAAGCGGTGGCATCGTCATCGCGAACACGCACGAGGCATCGGGATGCTGCTGGATACTTCTCGACGCGACCTACCCACGCGCCTCGGACATTGTTTGGCCTGCGTACGCATCTCACGTGTTATCGCGGACGATGCTTTGCTCCCTGTATTATAGATTATAACGCGACTTTTACATAACGCGCTGTTCTTTAGTAACGCAACAACCGCCCGGCTACAGGAGAACCAGACTGTACTTGGAAGATCCAAAGCAGCAATGGCCTGGCTCCGTCGTAGTGTAGTGTATAGTGTAGTGTGTTGTGTAGTATATAGTGTAGTATATAGTGTAGTGTATAGTAATGTATAGTAGTATACTGTGTAGTAGTGTATAGTGTAGTGTATAGTAGTGTATAGTAGGGTCGTGTATAGTAGTGTATAGTGTAGTGCATAGTATATAGTGGAGCGTATAGTAGTATACTGTGTAGTATTGTATAGTGTAGTGTACTGTGTAGTAGTGTATAGTGTAGTGTACTGTGTAGTATATAGTGTAGTGTATAGTAGTGTACTGTGTAGTGGTGTATAATGTAGTGGTGTATAATGTAGTGTATAGTGTGGTGTACAGTGTAGAGTGGTATATAGTGTACTGTGTAGTAGTGTACTGTGTAGTAGTGTATCGTAGTGTACTGTGTAGTAGTATACTGTGTAGTGTATCGTGTATAGTAGGGTAGTGTAGAGTAGTATATAGTGTAGTGTATAGTAGTGTACTGTGTAGTCGTGTATAGCGTAGTGTATCGTGGAGTGTATAGTAGGATAGTGTATAGTAGTATATTGTGTAGTGTATAGTAGTGTACTGTGTAGTAGTGTATAGTGTGTGTAGTAGTGTATAGTGTGTGTAGTAGTGTATAGCGTAGTGTATAGTAGTGTATTGTGTAGTAGTATATAGTGTAGTGTATAGTAGGGTAGTGTAGAGTAGTATATAGTGTAGTGTATAGTAGTATATAGTAGTATATAGTGTTGTGTATAGTGGAGTGTATAATAGGGTAGTGTATAGCAGTATATAGTATAGTGTATAGTGTAGTGTATAGTAGTATACTGTGTAGCAGTGTATAGCGTAGTGCATCAACATCATCATCCCAATCCACGGGCTGGGCACAGAGAGCCCTGCAGGTGTCCACTGCACATTCCGTCGTGTGTTCTGGTGGCCACGTCTGGCACCAATCTCTTGTGATGTCGTCGTCTAGACATTGTCTGTGAGCTCTTCATCTCTCTCCTGTTCCTTACAAACTTTTCCCGAACAACAACAACACTTTCAGAGACATCACAGATCGCGACGTTTCGATCACAACCCAGGCGGCCGTCATCAGGTGAGAACTGCTGAACTAGAGAGATCTTCCGTGGCACGAGGTTATAGATCACAAGAGATCATCAGGTACGAGCCGTACTACCCGGCTTTGCCCGGGACTTGGGTTCACCACGCCCGGCCGCCTTTGTCTCCCAAGTGGCGATGTTCACACACAACACACCAGTTACTTGTTTGATGCTGAGTCAACCTAGGAGAGGCCCAGGACCGGTTGAAATAATCGTCACCGGTGTTGGCCGTGAGCGGGAATCGAACTCGGGTCGCCGTGGTCGTAGCGCTGACCGCTACACCACCGCTCCCCACACAACAACAACAACCGCCATTCACCACTAAGCGGCGGTGGCATCACCACGCGCACACAGCCACGCGTAGCGATCGTCAACTTCTGCCCCCATTGCCGGCGGCGTGTCGTGGCGTTTACTCGCGGCCGGCTCCCAGCGCCGCTCCCAGCGCCGGCGCCGCTCCCAGCGCCCCCTCGCCCGCGTGCTTCCTGGCGTGCACCTTGAGGTACTCCCGCCGGGTGAAGCGCTTGCCGCAGTCGTCGCAGGCGTACGGCTTCTCTCCCGTGTGCGTGCGCCCGTGCACCTTGAGGTACTCGCTGCGGGAGAAGCGCTTTCCGCACTCGTCGCAAGCGTGCGGACGCTCGCCCGTGTGCGTGCGCCGGTGCTCCACCAGGTCGTAGCTCTGCGTGAATCCCCGGCCGCACTCGGCGCAGACATGAGGCCTCTCGCCCGAGTGCGTGCGGTAGTGCATCCGCAGCACGGAGCTCTTGGCGAAGCGCTTGCCGCACAGCTCGCAGGAGAAGGGGCGCTCCCCTGAGTGCGACCGCCGGTGCTTCTTGAGGTTGCTGTGGTGGGAGAAGGCCCTGCCGCACTCGGGGCAGGCGTGCGGACGCTCGCCCGTGTGCGTCCGCGAGTGGACCTCCAGGCCCGAGCGCTCGGCGAAGCGCTTGCCGCAGGCCGGGCAGGCGTGCGGACGCTCGCCGGTGTGGGTGCGCCCGTGCGCCGCCAGGCTCTGGCGGTAGGAGAAGCCCTTGCCGCACACGGGGCACACGTGCGGCTGCTCCCCCGAGTGCGTGACGGCGTGACGCGTCAGGCTGAACTTGCTCGAGAAGGACTTGCCACACTCGCCGCACTCGTGCGTCCTCGCGGCGACGCCGCCGACGACGCCGACGACGCCGCCGCCTCGCTTCCTCCCCCTCCTCCTCCGCTCGCCGTCGTCACCGTCGTCGTCGTCGCCTTCGCCGGTTTCCGTGAGACACAGAAATAGAAGGTGACGCCGGCGGTGGTTAACGTGCGCCGGGGGCGACGCGGATCGATCGGTTAGCGGGAGTGGCGCGGCGGTGGCTGCGGTCTTATTGGTTCTTTCGGTTAAAGTCGTCACGTAGAAGGGAAATAATAAAATAATAAAAATAAAACACAAGAAGCCCTTGCCGCAAACGGGGCACACGTGCGGCTGCTCCCCCGAGTGCGTGACGGCGTGACGCGACAGGCTGAAGTTCCAGACATACAGTACCCTGGCGTCTACAAACTAAGTTGCCTCTGTGGTAGCAGTTACATTGGAGAAACCAAACGACATGTCTCGGACCGCATCCGTGAACATAAAGCAGACTTGAAACACGGTAGGACAAACACCTCAGCCGTGGCAGATCACTGTTACAATTCAGTGGGCTCACATGACATTGACTTCTCCAAGACAGAGGTTCTCTGCAAGCCATCTGGCTACCATGAGAGATTCGTTCATGAGGCTATCCACATATACAAACACAGAGACAATTTCAACCGAGAAGATGGATTCTGGCTTAGCAATCATTGGAACCATTTCAGATCTTAACTGATTGTGTTCACGTTTGCGGTGACTTTCAGACCGCGTGCCACTCACTGCCATTGTATTCTCCGCAGGGAATGGATTCTTTGCTCCGCTGCAAGTTTCCTGCCACTACTCACCCATTATTTCGTTTGCTTCGTTGCTTCCTCTTAGTATCTTTCACACGACGGTCAATGGTACAGTGTATAATAACAAATAGTATAACATTTATATGCTTAATACAATGTACAAAGTAATATATAGTATCGTAATTGTATAGTCAATATACAGCAGTGTGATACACATTAGGGTGGGTAGAATAATACATAGTGTAATATTACAATGTATAAGGTATAGGGTGGTTTATAGCAATACAGTATATAATTTAAGGGAAAATGTCAAAACTGGGTGGTTTTTAACTTTTGCCGACAAAACTGGATCCCAAATGTCAAAACTGGGTGGTCTTGGAAAACGACAGGCAAAACAGGGTGGTGCTTTTTGATATGACAAAACTGGGTGATGTTCAATGTGGACAAATGTCAAAACTGGGTGAAGAAGGTGTACGATTTAATGTATCATTTTGTACACGTTTAGGTCCTTGCGTTATTCATCCATATGTCGCCACAGATTTAGAGCGTTCCAAATGATGTTTCTCGTGGCTCATGTTCCATACCTTGCACCACAAACTTCCCGTTTGCATACTGGCACAGTGTGCCAGCTCGCTTACTTGCCGTTTGTATACTGGCACAGTGTGCCAGCTCGCTACTACAGTGACACTTACTTGCCATATGTATACTGGCACAGTGTGCCAGCTTGCAACTACAGTAACACTTTCAGCTCGCGAACATACACGAACTTGCCATTTGTATACTGGTACAGTGTGCCAGCTTGCATGCTACACCTACTACAGTAGAACAACGGTAGATAGTGTTTGCGTCGAGAAGTATGGTGCTGCACACTTAGAACAAAACATGTTTGTTACATATATATAACTACTTCGACGGGCAAGAGCGTTTGTTGTGGCCCTTGGCGTGACAGAAGGAGCACCGCGTGAGGCCCAATGGGCCACCTTCGCCACGGTTGCGAATCCGACGCTTCTTCGGGCGGCCAGCCTTCTTCTGGCGAGGAGGTGGCATCATGGTGTTGTCGCGTTGCAGCTCCTCGGCAATGGGCAGCTCGATACCGGCAACCGAGGTCCATGTCGTGTTGATGGCAGAGACTTGGTAACACACCGCACATGCGTCGTAGAGCTCGGGCATCCGCCCAAACGCCATGAGGGCACGAATGTAGTGCCGACACGGCAAGCCCATCTGCTTCATGTACCCGCACGTGCACGACCGAGAGCTGAGATCGACTCGGCGCTTGGCAGAGGCGTAGGCGTCTGGATCCTTGACGTATGCACGCGTCGAGGTACTCTCGTAGACCTTGTACCTCGGGGCCAACGCCTGCTGAGCGTCGATGAGTCCTTGAGCGTACGGCGTAATGACACGCCCTTGAGCGGCCCACTTCTCGGCGTCGCTGCGGTGGGCAAAGGCCGTCGTCATCATGTCTTCCATGTGGTGCATGAGGAAGTGGAAGGGGTCCATCTCGCGAGCCGGCAGGGCCTCGCTGTTCGTGGACTCCACAAAGTTCGTCGTGCGCCAGCCGTACAATGGCGTCGTGTGCAGGTGCGGGTAGAGCGCCCACGTGTGGGGGTCGATCTTGTTGTAGTACGTGGCCGCCGCAGGCAGAGCTACGCCCAAGCAGCCCAAGGAGCTGCGGAACGCGGCCTCGGAGGCGCACCCTTGGGCATCGTAGATGATGCCTTGGAGGTCGGGCGTGAACGCGGAGCCGATGTTGTCCACGCCGTTGCAGATCAAATGCCGCGTGCAGTGGATGAGCATGAGGTCCTTCCAGTCGGAGGCTAGGATGCCCGTGCCACGATCGCAGAAGACCGGCGTGCCGTCGAGCTCGATGTCGTTGGTCGTGCAGCAGTTGAGAAACCAGTCGTAGGCCGCTGCCGTCTCGGACGGCACCAGCGCCACGGCGAGAAGGACGTTGCGGTTGTTGCCGTCGCGCCCAACGAGGACGAGCATGGTTCCATTGTAGGCGCGCGCCTTCATGTGCGACCCGTCGATGCCGACGACGCGTTGAAGACTTGGCTGCAACGAGCGTGCGATCGGGTTGCAGATGAACGCACCCCAGAAGATGCCCGCGTCTTCTCGCACACTGCAGATCGTCGCGTTGAGCTTGCCGAACGTCTCCACCAGCGAGTTGATGAACTCGAAGCCTGCATGGGCCGCACTCTCGTTCGCCGCGATGCACGTGTCCTTGGCGCGGTACATCATCCGGGTCGGGACAATGACGCGAGCAATGTCGGCGACCTGGGCAATGACAGTCGGTGCGGAGGTACGGGGGTTGGCGCGAAAGGCCGAACGGGCTGTCGTGTTCACCTCCACTTGGCGCTGCGTGATCTTGGCAGTGCCCGTGCAGCCGTGGTGATCCGTGCACAGCGCCGAGACGCGGAAGCCACGTCGTTCCCCCGTGAGCTTCGTCAGCTTCACCTTGAAGGAACAAGGTGTTGAACTAGAGCAGACGATGGCAACGTGCCGTCCGCCGCTTCGCTTGAGGTCAAGGACCGCGCGCTTGCCTTGTTGCAAAGCAAAGTCTTGGATGCCGTGGATGGCCTCGCGGCGCGTGGTAAAAGTCTTCTTGGGGTGGAGGGTTGCCATTCGAATGTGAGCCGCTCCTCCACCTGTTTCGTGAAAAATGCTTGTGAAAAATCACGTTTCTACGTCTACTTTCAATTTTTCACGAGACAATATGTCTATTTTCATTGCCAGCAATTTGATTTTTCACACAATATTTCCGCCAATCACCGTAACGGTGGGCCAAAGGATTGACCAATCAACGAGATGCGCATTCGTTGGTTTGTTCCGCACCATTGGGACCATGGTCAGGAGCGTCAAGCAGGCTGGTCCATCTCCCAAGGACGTCGCCTTTGTCTCTGTGCTTGGTCGTTTGGCGGGCTATGGTCGAATGCATGGCAACAATCCAAAAGTTTGGTATTGACGCGAGTCACTAGTCTAGGTCATCACGCAAGGTGGCAGTGCGCCCGCCTGGTTGCAAGCCCAGCTCTGAGCTCACTTCCGAGTCCGAGCCGTAGCTTGAAATGTTGGTCGTTGGGGTGCTGGCACACTGTGCCAGCATACAAATATCAAGTGTGTGTAGTTATATGGTGCTGGCACACTGTGCCAGCATACTAATACCAAGTGTTTAGATTAATGGGGTGCTGGCACAGTGTGCCAGTATACAAATACCAAGTGTTTGGATGAATGGGGTGCTGGCACACTGTGCTAGTATACAATTATCAAGTGTATTTGACAAATGTCAAAACTGGGTGCACCCTGAGTGTCCAAAACTCAAGTTTTTGGCCACCCAGGGTGCACCCAGTTTTGACATTTGGGATCCAGTTTTGTCGGCAAAAGTAAAAAACCACCCAGTTTTGACCTTTTTCCAATAATACATAGTGTTATATTACAATGTATAAGGTGGTTATTAGCAATACAGTATATAATTTAATGTTGGGTTTGTCTATGGCAGTATATAGTACGGTGTAGACTCGTGTGATGTAAGAGAATAAAGTTTAGATGGAAGCATATTATATATTTTTTTACGACGTAGAATTGTAATGTATTACTTACTGTTAGTAACTCAGCTTATTGTAGAGTATATTTAGTATACTGATGATACTATGTAGTTTATACTTTAATTGTTTACGTGGTGGTTTTAGTTACTGCAGCTACATACTATTAACACTCCTTCCCTTTATTAATGCTACCCCTATCCCCTCCCTTGTATGATGCTAATCCTGCATAATGCACGGGCATGAGAAGTACTATTCACATACCTGCATTTCCCATATCCCCCTCCCTTTGATGCTGCTAATCCTGCATAATGCACGGGCATAAGTAGTACTAATCACATACCTGCATTTCCCATAAATATGCTAAATTCCTCTTGATATGCTAATTATTTTGTCGAAGCGCCCTTTTCCCCCCTTCCAACCCAGCTTATATACATGCTCCAAGCATGGTGGTGTTTCATTCAGACGCTGTCTCCCCGACAGACCTGGTTTTCACCTGAGGACGGCTGCTTGCGTTGTGGCAGAAACGTCATGAGAATTGTTTTATTATGTTTTATTATTATTATTTTATTATTTCCCTTCTACGTGAATTTACCGAAAGAACCAAGAAGATGAATCCCTGCAGTCACGAAAGCTTTAAATCGAAATTTAATAGTTTAGTTCAGTAGTGAGAGTGAGTCAATCAATGGGACTCACCATGACCCATGCCGCCCTCCTCCTCCTCCTCGAGTTCCACCTCGATGAAGTTGCGGTCTACGCTCTCCGTGTCTCCTCTCTCCTCCGGCCTCTCCACTTTGACGAGGCTCAGATCGGGACCTGCAGCTCGGGGGCAGGGGAGGGGGATTGTGAGCGGTGGATCAGCGTCTGGGATGCTGCTGCTGCTGCTGCTGTTGCTACTGCTGCTGCTACTGCTGCTGCTACTGCTGCTGCTGGTACTGCTGCTGCTACTGCTACTGCTGTTGCTGCTACTGCTGTTGCTGGTACTACTACTGCTGCTACTGCTGCTACTGCTACTGCTGTTGCTGGTACTACTACTGCTACTGCTGCTACTGCTGCTGCTGCTACTGCTGTTGCTGGTACTACTGCTGCTGCTGCTGCTACTGCTGCTGCTGCTGTTGTTGCTGCTACTGCTGTTGTTGCTGCTGCTACTGCTGCTGCTACTGCTGCTGCTGGTACTGCTACTACTGCTGCTGCTACTGCTGCTGCTGCTACTACTGCTGCTGCTGCTACTACTGCTACTACTACTACTGCTGCTACTACTACTACTGCTGCTGCTACTGCTGCTGCTCCTACTGCTGCTGGTACTGCTGCTGCTGGTGGAAGGCGCTTCATAGAAAAGAGGTTGTTGTTGTTTTTAAACCCTCAACCGCCACGGCAGATGGAACCGGTCGAATGGAGTTGACACCCAGACAGACAGAGACCTACAGACACCCATAGACACCCAGACCCATAGAGACCCATAGAGACCCATAGAGACCCACAGACACCCAGACCCATAGAGACCCATAGAGACCCACAGACACACAGACCCACAGAGACCCAGAGACCCACAGACACCCAGACCCACAGAGACCCACAGACACCCAGACCCACAGAGACCCACAGACACCCAGACCCATAGAGACCCACAGAGACCCAGACCCACAGACACCCACAGACACCCAGACCCACAGAGACCCACAGACACCCAGACCCACAGAGACCCACAGACACCCAGAGACACAGAGACCCACAGACACCCAGACCCACAGACACCCACAGACACCCAGACCCATAGAGACCCACAGACACACAGAGACCCACACACACCCAGACCTACAGAGACCCACAGACACCCAGACCCACAGAGACCCACAGACACCCAGACCCACAGACACCCAGACCCATAGAGACCCACAGAGACCCACACACACCCAGACCCACAGAGACCCACAGACACCCAGACCCACAGACACCCAGACCCACAGAGACCCACAGACACCCAGACCCACAGAGACCCACAGACACCCAGACCCATAGAGACCCACAGACACCCAGACCCACAGAGACCCACAGACACCCAGACCCATAGAGACCCACAGACACCCAGACATACAGAAAGTGACGATGGCGGCGGTGATGATGGCGACACCGACACCACTCACTGCATTCGACGCCTTCCCTGTCGCCCATCGCCGCAGGGCACGTACCGTCCCAGCGACCGAGTCTGCGTTCCCGTTTGACGGACTCCATCTGCGGAGATGCGGAGATGGAGGAACAGCGGTAACGGGGGGCGGGCAGGTGAATAAAAATGTTTTTGTTTTTTTCTTCTTGGTTATTTCGGTAAAGTCATCACGTGGAAGGGAAATAATGAAATAATAAAAATAAAACATAATAAAATAATTCTAACGACGTTTCGGCCACAAGGCAAGCAGCCTTCCTCAGGTGAAGAACAGGTCTGTCGAGAAGTCATTCAGACTCTGTCTCTCGACAGACCTGTTCTTCACCTGAGGTCGACTGCTTGCGTTGTGGCCGAAACGTCGTGAGAATTATTGTATAATGTTTTATTTTTATTATTTTATTATTTCCCTTCTACGTGACTTTACCGAAAGAACCAAGAAGATGAATCCCTGCAGTCACGGAAGAAGCTTTAAATCGAAATGTTTTTGTTATTTTACCGGCTAAGGCCCCTCCACTGACCTGTCACGTGGCTCTTCCCAGAAGCGACCTGGCGTGGTGGCTTATCGCGTGGAAATGTGTCGCAGCCAAACACCTCTCTAAACCAGTGGTCCTTAACCTGTCGGGATCGAGCCCACGACCTCCTGCACACCAGGCGAGGTAGTTAACATCTCCTAGCCACCGTGATGATGATGATGATGATGAGAGAGAGACGCAGACTCCAAATCGACAGCATCAGGCGTCGTCAGGGTCGGGATCGAACCCACGACCTCCTGCACACCAGGCGAGGTAGTTAACATCTCCCAGCCACCGTGATGATGATGAGAGAGAGACACAGACTTCAAATACACAGCAGGCGTCAGGGTCGGGATCGAACCCACGACCTCCTGTACACCAGGCGAAGTAGTTAACATCTCCCAGCCACCGTGATGATGATGATGAGAGAGAGAGACGCAGACTCCAAATCTACAGCATCAGGCGTCGTCAGGGTCGGGATCGAACCCACGACCTCCTGCACACCAGGCGAGGTAGTCGACAGCTTTTCTTAGAGCCTAGTCTCCATTGGTGTTGGACCAGATGACGCCAAAAGGTGTACAACTCAAAAACAGCGCACTATCAGAGTATTAAGAGCTCGGGGTAAGCATTTACACTGAGACCTCCTTTACCAGTGGCAAAATATAGTAATAGGTGGACCAATCAACTTCAAGGACAGTGCATATCATTATCATAATCAGAGTTGTTTGTTTTTGTTTGCATTTCGACTGCTTGTGTTGTGGTTATTGCAAACATGATGCCTTGTATAAAGGTGTCAGTTTTTGTACCAGTTGAAAGGGTAAAAACCTATTAATATATTTTGCCACTGGTAAAGGAGATGTCTCATAGTGTAAATGTTTACCAAAAGAACCAAAGAGACAATCGAGATTTGAAGTTTTTAACCAAAGAGACGTGAACTCGTGCGGGAGGCTAAAAGGACGTCCGTTTTGCATGCGACAGTGGCCAGCGAACGACTCCATCTGGGCCGACCGCCCACCAACACGAAGCCCTCGAACTGATTTGGGAGCAGACGGGTCAGGGACACCACCAATATCAGGAAGAACAACCCAGAGGCCAGGCCTACTGATCGGTATCATAGGCCTTGACCAGGTCAACACAGCAGAGGTGTGAGGTCCTGTTGGAATCCCCGACACCTCTGCTGTAGCAGACGGACAGAGAATGGAGCGTTGGAACACGGGAAAAGTTCTTGGGGGTCGGAGATCGGATCACCGTTCTTTTCCTTAAGGATGGTGATGGGTGAGGTGTTGCAAGTTACTTATTGTGATGGAATTAAATAGATTCACTCATTCACCCGCTCACTCACCCACTCATTCACTCACTACCCACTCACCACTAACTCACTCTACCACTCAGTCACTCACCACTAACTCACTCTACCACTCACTCACTCACCATTCACTCACCACCCACCAACCCACTCACCACTAACTCACCACCCACTCACCCACTCACCACCCACTCACCACCCACTCACCACTCACTCACCACTCACTCACCCACCACTCACCACCCACCCACCACTCACTCACCCACCCACTCACCCACTCACCACTCACTCACCACTCACTCACTCACCCACCCACCCACTCACCACTCACCCACTCACCACCCACCCACTCACTCACCACCCACTACTCACTCACTCACCACTCACTCACCACCACCCACTCACCACTCACTCACCACTCACCACCCACTACTCACTCACTCACCACTCACTCACCACTCACTCACCCACTCACCACTCACTCACCCACCACTCACCCACTCACCACTCACCCACCCACTCACCACTCACTCACCACCCACTCACCCACTCACCCACCCACTCACCCACTCACCACCCACTCACCCACTCACCCACCCCCCACTCACCCACCCACTCACCCACTCACCACTCACTCACCCACCCCCCACTCACTCACCCACTCACCCGGCTCTGTCAAGGCGCCTCCACCTCAAGATGGAGGGATTGAAACGCGCCGAGCGACAAGATGCATGCCAAGACGTCTCGAGTCTACACCGTGATGCAGGCCAAGACGTCTTGATGGGAGCCAAGACGTCTTGATGGGGGCCAAGACGTCTCATGTCTACACCGTGATGGGGGCCAAGACGTCTTGATGGGGGTCAAGACGTCTTGATGCAGGCCAAGACGTCTTGATGGGAGCCAAGACGTCTCAAGTCTACACCGTGATGCAGGCCAAGACGTCTTGATGGGAGCCAAGACGTCTTGATGGGGGCCAAGACGTCTCATGTCTACACCGTGATGGGGGCCAAGACGTCTTGATGGGGGTCAAGACGTCTTGATGCAGGCCAAGACGTCTTGATGGGAGCCAAGACGTCTCAAGTCTACACCGTGATGCATGCCAAGACGTCTTGATGGGGGCCAAGACGTCTTGATGCATGCCAAGACGTCTTGATGCAGGCCAAGACGTCTTGATGGGAGCCAAGACGTCTCAAGTCTACACCGTGATGCATGCCAAGACGTCTTGATGGGGGCCAAGACGTCTTGATGGGGGCCAAGACGTCTTGATGGGGGCCAAGACGTCTTGATGGGGGTCAAGACGTCTCAAGTCTACACCGTGATGAATGCCAAGACGTCTTGATGCAGGCCAAGACGTCTTGATGGGGGCCAAGACGTCTTGATGCAGGCCAAGACGTCTTGAGTCTACACCGTGATGCTGGTCAAGCCGCACCGTCAGGCGGGTGACACCACGGCCGACTGAACTCACCACGATCCACAATCATCATCGCCTTCGACCCCTCCACGACCCAACGAGATGGCCGCGCGTACAAACGCACGCACAGGCGGGTTCATGAAGACGACGACGAAGACGTCTTCTTTGTTCATATTCTTAGGTTTTTTTCGGTAAAGTCACGTAGAAGGAAAATAAAAAAATAATAACATTTTGTTTTATTTTTATTATTTTCCTTCTACGTGACTTTACCGAAAGAACCAAGAAGATGAACACCAGTGGCTTCTTTAGTAGATCACCACCAGTGGCTTTAGGAGAACATCACCTTCTTAGGTTTTTTCGGTAAAGTCACGTAGGTAAAAAAATTAAAATTAATAAAAATAAAATAAAAATCACGACGTTTCGGAGGCAACACAAGCTTCCGTCTTCAGGTGGAACCGTCACAGCCACGACAGCCGTATCAAGTAAATGAGAAATTACAAGAGCTACCACTCCGTTTATATAATGGTTGAGGGGGGAAGGGCCAAGTACGGCACACTTTTTATTAATATGGTAAGGTGAGGCTTGAGACTAAGAATAGACTGCATAACAAATGACTGAGCCTTTGTTATGGAGAGGTACGGTTTGTGGCTAACGCCTAGCCTACATGACAAATGCTGCAAATGAGACCGAGCCTCTGCCATTCTTGGTTCTTTCGGTAAAGTCACGTAGAAGGGAAATAATAAAATAATTAAAATAAAACATTATAAAATACAATTCTCACGACGTTTCGCAAAAACGATATGCAAATTCTTTTGTCAAGGCGCTCTCCCCCCCCCTCCAACCCAGCTTAAATAGACGCTCCAAGCCTGGTGGTGTTTCATTCAGACGCTGTCTTCTCGACAGACCTGTTCTTCACCTGAGGACGGCTGCTTGCGTTGTGGCCGAAACGTCGTGAGAATTATTTTATGTTTTATTTTATTATTTCCCTTCTACGTGACTTTACCGAAAGAACCAAGAAGATGACATTAATTGGTTCCAGACACAAGACATTTTTCACTATAAAGCATTTCTACACGAAGTTTACAGTAATTACATGCATTAAATCATACAAAAAAACAAGAAACAGTAAATAAATGGAATAAATAAATAGAATAAATGAACATTGAACTTCACTTTACCTGTAGTAAGGAGAGTTGTTGGCTTGAGTGGAAGGTGGTGAGGAGGTGGTGGTGGTGGTTTTATTGTCTGTAAGGGGAGTCCGCTTTGTCTGGGCAAGCGTCGTGCACGCTGTCCATACAGTAGTAGTATAGTGTCATACAGTAGTAGTGTAGTGTATAGTGTAGTGTATAGCGTAGTGTATAGTGTGGTGTACAGTAGTAGTATAGTGTAGTGTACAGTAGTATAGTGTAGTGTATAGTGTAGTGTCGTGTATAGTAGTATAGTGTAGTTTATAGTGTAGTGTATAGTAGTAGTATAGTGTAGTATATAGTGTAGTGTATAGTGTAGTGTATAGTGCTGTGTTTAGTGTATAGTAGTATAGCGTAGTGTATAGTAGTAGTATATTGTATAGTGTAGTGTATAGTATAGTGTATTGTAGTAGTATAGTGTAGTATATAGTGTAGTGTATAGTATAGTGTATAGTGCTGTGTTTAGTGTATAGTAGTATAGCGTAGTGTATAGTAGTAGTATATTGTATAGTGTAGTGTATAGTGTAGTGTATAGTGTAGTGTATAGTAGTGTATAGTGTAGTGTATAGTGTAGTGTCGTGTATAGTAGTAGTATAGTGTAGTGTATAGTAGTAGTATAGTGTAGTATATAGTGTAGTGTATAGTGTAGTGTATAGTGTAGTGTATAATGCTGTGTTTAGTGTATAGTAGTAGTATAGCGTAGTGTATAGTAGTAGTATATTGTATAGTGTAGTGTATAGTAGTGTATAGTGTAGTGTATAGTAGTGTATAGTGTAGTGTATAGTGTAGTGTATAGTGTAGTGTATAGTAGTGTATAGTGTAGTGTATAGCATAGTGCATCAACACCATCCCAATCCATGGCTGCGCAGAGAGCCCTGTCGGTGCCCACTCCGCATTTGGTAATTTTGTTGTTTCCACTTCCCTCTTGGCCACGTGTCTCTGGCACCAATCTCTTGTGATGTCGTCGTCTAGCCATTCCCCGTGAGCTCTTTCTCTCTTTACAATCCCTTCCAAACTTTCCCCGAACAACAACAACAACACTCCATTGGTACCTCATTTGCCAGTGTGCCACGAATGGCATCCATCGCTCTTTCCCAGTACGTTTGGTGATTGTGGATCTCCCCATCTCAGACATATTGTTGTTGGGAACCGTTCTTCTACTTCCCGTCCAAACTTTCCTGCCGACTTTGACCCTTCACCAACACCCTGGAACATCTCAGTCTTTTCCCTACTCTGCATGATTTTAATGTTGCCCGCGTTAGATCTTGCTTCGTCGAATCGAATGCTTTCTGGAAACGTATTAAACCAGTTGTAAACCATTCTAGATTTGAAGCTTTCGTGACTGCAAAGATTCATATTCTTGGGTTTTTTCGGTAAAGTCACGTAGGTAAAAAATAAAACATGACGTTTCGGAGGCAACACAAGCCTCCGTCTTCAAGTGGAACCGTCACAGCACGATTGCTGTATCAAGTAAATAAATACGGGGTCGGATCTCTTGGAATTTCTCATTTACTTGTTACAGTTGTAAACCAGCCTATTATCTTTGCTTTCTCTGCTTTAAGCCTTAACATCAATATTTGCTGTACTGTGTCCCTACCTTTCCTAAACTGTGTTGCTAGCTTTCCTAAACCGTGCCTGTTCATCCACCAAACGATCCTCAGTCTGCGCTTTTAATCAATGTAATAGTACTCTCATCAGAACCTTGCACACACGCAGCTCATTAGTGCCATCGTTGTCATTTATTTTTAAATCCTTTATATGAAGTTCGCTTGCGTGCTTGCTTGCGCGCTTACGACCGTACAAATCTTTCGGTCGTTTTTTAACCCACTTCCCGTGATCCAATCGAGCTGACATTTTCCACACAGACTCGTTGTGCGTGACAATTAATGTTCGTGAAAAAATTTTTTTGCAAAATTTTACACTTTTTAGGGAAAATAAATTATATTTAATTACCAATTGCTTAATGGTGGCAGGCAATCATCTGACCCATAGGTGGCAGCCATCTCAAGCCAGAGGACTCTAGCCGCCACACATATAAAGGATTTATAGTTAAAAACTTTGTTTTTACGGGTTAATTTTTTTAGAAACTACGATACCTCCTTTGTTGGGTATCGTCACGAGTGTGGATTTTGTCCACCCCTCGGATATTCCCCCTTCTCTCTCCGTGCTTAGCGGGCATCAGCTCGCGGATTTCTTTACCAGAACTTCCTTCCCACCAGCTTTAACCAATTGATACTCTTAGTTCTTTCGGTAAAGTCACGTAGGTAAAAAATGAAGTCACGTAGGTAAAACATGAAGTCACGTAGGTGAAAAATGAAGTCACGTAGGTAGAACATGAAGTCACGTAGGTAGAACATGAAGTCACGTAGGTAAAACATGAAGTCACGTAGGTAGAACATGAAGTCACGTAGGTAAAACATGAAGTCACATAGGTGAAAAATGAAGTCACGTAGGTAAAACATGAAGTCACGTAGGTAAAACATGAAATTAAAATTAATAAATTTTAGTTTCATTTTTTAACCTACGTGACTTTACCGAAAGAACTAAGAGTATGAATCCTTGAGGTCACGAAAGTTTCAAATCTAGAATTTAACCAATTGCTCCGCTTACACAGTCCTCTGCGGGCAAAGAGATGCGGTGTCAAGAGGCGATTTGTTTATTGGCACCGGTCCGACGGCCGGCCCCAGCCGAGGCCACAGTGCCGATGGCCACGGCGAGAGGAACATGCTGCAGAGACGGGCGGCATGACGCAGACCGCGATACGAGCGACGCGTTACAAGACGGGGGGGGGGCTGCATTGGGACCCCCCCAGTAAGATGAACCTTCATCGTGCTGTGGATGTCTGGGCAGGAGATCAAGGGAGGGAGAGAGGGCGGCAATTGCGGGAGAAAGTGGATTCATATTCCATTACTTACATATATTTTATTGTTAACACTCGTGTTGTTGTTGTGACCGGCTCGCTTGGTATAGGGCCAGGTAAGCCTCACGGAGAGTGTCAAGGGAGCTTGGCAAGAGGTGTTTGCAGTAGGGGGTAGTGTGGGTGGTGGGGGTAGTGTGGGTGGTGGTGATAGTGCTGCTGCTGCTGCTGTGGTGTTGAGCGATTTGCAGGGCGATTGTTTTGAGCATTTGGGGGATTCTAGATTTGAAGCTTTCGTGACTGCAAGGATTCATATTTTTAGTTTTTTTCGGTAAAGTCACGTAGGTGAAAAATTAAAATTAATAAAAAATAAAAAATGAAATAAAAATCACGACGTTTCGGAAACAACACAAGCCTCCGTCTTCAGGTGGAACCGTCACAGCACGATAGCTGCATCAAGTGAGAGAAATTACAGGAAAACCGTGTCTCTATAATTTCTCTCACTTGATACAGCAATCGTGCTGTGACTGTTCCACCTGAAGACGGAAGCTTGTGTTGCCTCCGAAACGTCGTGATTTTTATTTTATTTTTATTTTACTTTTTTAAATTTAAATTTTTTACCTACGCGACTTTACCGAAAAAACCTAAGAACGTTTGGGGGGATGTTCTTGGTGAACATCGCTTACACTCATCTTCTTGGTTCTTTCGGTAACGTCACGTAGAAGGGAAGTAATAAAATAATAATAAAACATTATAAAATAATTCTCACGTTTCGGCCACAACGCAAGTAGCCGTTGTGGCCGAAACGTCGTGAGAATTATTTTATTATGTTTTATTTTCATTATTTTATTACTTCCCTTCCACGTGACTTTACCGAAAGAACCAAGAAGATGAATCCCTGCAATCACGAAAGCTTTAAATCGGTTACACTGTGTGGGTTCTATTAGCGATGGGGAGGGAGGGATGGATGCCACTGGGGGAGCTCCTAGGCAAAGCGACACCCCAACCAACATCTCCAATGTGCCACGCAGTTCTGTTAGGGACGCCGTGTTGGCAAGATGTCAACTCCCTCGCCTGGTATACAGGTCGTGGGTTCGATCCCAACTCTGCGCATTTGGAGTCTGCATCTCCCTCTCTCTCTGTCTCCCCAGTGGCGATGTTGACTACACACCGCACCAGGTACTCATTAGAGGCTGAGCCGACTTAGGGGAGGAGCCCCAGGACGGGTTCAGATAATAACACTGGTCGACAAAAAAAAAAACATTTTTTTCTGGCCTGGACTTTTGCAGCTGTTCTAGACTAATTTCAAGGTGCTGATTCCAAATCTGATCTCAGATTTGCTCTATCACATCTCATTTTTAAATCCTTTATATTAAGTTCACTTGCTTGCTTGCGCGCTTACGACCGTGCAAATCTTTCGGTCGTTTTTTAACCCACTTCCCGTGATCTAATTGAGCTGACATTTTCCACACAGACTCGTTGTGCGTGACAATTAATGTTTGTGAAAATTTTTTTCCAAAATTTTACACTTTTTAGGACAAAAATATTATATTTAATTACCAATTGCTTAATGGTGCAATGCAATCATCTGACCCATAGGTGGCAGCCATCTCAAGCCAGAGGACGAGAGGACTCTAGCCGCCACGCATATAAAGGATTTATGGTGAAAAACTTTGTTTTTACGGGTTATACTTGTTATGCTATCGGCATACCCCATTTTCATAGATTTTACCCGAAATTAGCTCCGTCACTTATGATTGCAAGTTGTTGCGAGTCAGTGACTGCTTTAGTGTTAAAATATGGTGCTGTATTTTTAGGATAGTGTGTTTATAATATCATTTTATGTAGATATCCACATTTATTTAATACTTTTTCTTCTGAAGTTTTTATTGAAAATGCATTATTTGATATCTCAAAAACCTGATGTGATGGACAAAAACTGATGCCAGATTTGGAATCGGCACCCCGAAATTACATTAAAACCGTTGGAATACCTCATGCCAGAAAAATTGTGTTGACCAGGGTTATCTGAACCGCAGCGCGCAAACCACTGCACCACCGGTCACCATACACACAGCTAGGTATATGTACAAATACAAAGATCTACCGTATAGCCTTAACAGACTGTAGGGGCAAGTGCTGTTAGCGAGCAGCACCTATGAAGGCCGGAACGGTACACGAGGGGGTGGGGTGGCCAGCACCACGCCCGACCGCCTTTGTCTCCCTAGCGGCGATGTTTACACACCGCAACAGGTACTCGTTTGAGGCCGAGTCGACCTAGGGGAGGCCCAGGACCGGTTCAGATAAAATCGTCACTGGTGTTTGCCGTGAGCGGGAATCGAACCCGGGTCGCCAAGTTCGTAGTGCAACGCGCTAACCACTACACCCACCGCTCCCCGTATATGTACATACACACGCGCACAGCTAGATATATGTACATACACACACGCACACACAACTATACACACACGGCTACAGAGCATCGCTACTAATTGCTTGAAGCTGCACTATGAGCAAAGTCATTTAGAGAGTTCTACGCTATCCAAAGAAAATCCCCAACAGCAGAAGACAACAATCCATTGTCGCATCGTCAACAACGACACGGAGCCTTCAAGAGCGGAGAGAACGGCACACTCGGGGGTCATCGTTTCAAATCCTTCCGACTTTTTGTGACGCCGTGTGACGAGGGAGGGGGCGGTCAAAAATCGTCCAAAATCGAGTGACGTCATTTATGGACGGCCCCTTATCTCGTCCAATTCGCGTTATGAGCACAACAACACGCGGCGTTTATAGGAGAACTCACCCTCCACTCACTCCGCGGTGAGCGATTGGGGGGCAGTGGTGGAGAGTGGAGCGGAGGAGTTCACACACCTGGACAGCGCGCTCACGACTTGGGCGCCACGGTGGTTAGGAGATGTTGACTCCCTCGCCTGGTGCGCAGGAGGTCGTGGGTTCGATCCAGACCCTGACGCCTGCTGTGTATTTGGAGTTTGTGTCTCTCTCTCATCATCATTACGGAGGCTAGATGTTGACTACCTCGCCTGGTGTGCAGGAGGTCGTGGATTCGATCCCGACCCCGACGACGCCTGCTGCTGTAGATTTGGAGTCTGCGTCTCTCTCTCATCATCATCATCACGGTGGCTAGGAGATGTTGACTACCTCGCCTGGTGTGCAGGTCGTGGGTTCGATCCCTACCCCGATGCCTGTTAGATATTTGAAGTTCGACATCTCTCTCGCTCGCGTTTGTCATCGCCAGGTCGCTTCTGAAAGAGCCACGCAGCTCAGTGGACCTTACCTTGTAGAATAAAACAGTTCATAGTTTACATGCGTATGCATTGGGTCCAACTCCTGGCATCCAACACTCCCCCGGACCACAATCTCCGGTATCGTGACGTGGAAGTGGATATAACAGAGCTACCTCCAAGGTCCCTTCAATCTTCACGTGACCGCGCTGGTCCACACAGCATGGCCAACAGTCGCAGTGGTTTTCACAATCTTAATTTTGGAGCTTTCGTGACTGCAGGAATTACTCTTTGGTTCTTTCGGTAAAGTCGCGTATAAAGATAAAATAATAAATTAAATAATAGCATACTACGACGTTTCGATTGCAACACAAGCAATCATCATCAGGTATAAATGAAATAGCAACAAAACTCTAAACAGAAATACTATAGACAGACATATAAGCAGACAGATATCACCAAGATACACAGAGAGAGAGCAACACATATGTCTGTCTATAGTATTTCTGTTTAGATTTTTGTTGCTATTTCATTTATACCTGATGATTGCTTGTGTTGCAATCGAAACGTAGTATGCTATTATTTAATTTATTATTTTATCTTTATACGTCACTTTACCGAAAGAACCAAAGAGGTTTTCACATTAACTACCTCAGAGATCCATTGTTCTTCAAGTGAGACACACAAGAGAACCCGTGGAAGTGGATATCACAGAGCCACCTGTGAGATCCACTCTTCTTCAAGTGGCACTCTGATCCACTCACAGCAGATGGCAACGCTCTGATATATGAGAGTAATGTTCATAGTTGCGTGGAGGTAAAACCGATATTCTAATTCGACGCGAGTCAAGGGTTCCCTATGTGAGTCTATGGGTCTGTGTGTGAGCCTCTGGGTCTCTGTGCCAGTCTATGGGTCTCTGTGTGAGTAGTCTCTGTGTGTGAGTCTACGGGTCTCTCTGTCCGAGTAGTCTATGGGTCTCTGTGCCAGTCTACGGGTCTCGGTCCGAGTAGTCTACGGGTCTCGGTGCGAGTAGTCTATGGGTCTCGGTGCGAGTAGTCTATGGGTCTCTGTGCGAGTAGTCTATGGGTCTCTGTGCCAGTCTACGGGTCTCTGTGTGAGTAATCTATGGGTCTCTGTGTGAGTCTATGGGTCTCTGTGACCTTACGAGACTCCCCCCACCACCACCCCCACCACCCCCACCACCCACCACCCCCCACCACCGTGACTCAGCAGCGGGCGGCGTGCACCTTGCCGTGCCGCCGCAGCTTGGAGCTGTGCGAGAAGCCCTTGCCGCACTCCCGGCACACGTACGGCCGCTCCCCGGTGTGGGTGCGCGCGTGCACCCGCAGGTGCGAGCTCTGCGAGAACGCCTTGCCACACTCGGCGCAGGCGTATGCCCGCTCGCCCGTGTGCGTGCGGAAGTGGCGCTCGAGCCCCGACTGCATGGCGAAGCGCTTGCCGCACTCCTTGCAGGCGTGCGGCCGCTCCCCCGTGTGCGTCCTGCGGTGGGCCTCCAGGTTGTAGCGGTGCGCGAAGCCGCGGCCGCAGTCGCCGCACGAGTGCGGCGGGGACGGGGCGTGCGCCGCCGCGTGCTTCTCCAGCAGCGACGGGTGGGCGAAGCCCTTGCCGCAGACAGGGGCACGCGTGCGGCCTCTCGCCGGCGTGCACGTACGAGTGCTGCTTGAGGTAGTAGCGGTGCGCGAAGGCCTTCCCGCAGTCGGGGCAGGCGTGCGGACGCTCGCCCGCGTGAATGGCGGCGTGCCGCTCCAGGTTGGAGCGCTGCGTGAAGCGCTTGCCGCACTCGTCGCAGGCGTGCGGGCGCTCGCCCGTGTGCGTGGCGGCGTGCAGCTTGAGGTAGGAGCGGTGCAGGAAGCGCTTGCCGCACACGGGGCAGGCGTGCGGGCGCTCGCCCGTGTGGATGCGCGCGTGCGCCTCCAGGTTGGAGCGCCGCGTGAACTTCTTGCCGCACTCGCCGCACGCGTGCCGCGTGTCCCCCGTGTGCGTGATGGAGTGCGCACGCAGGTAGGAGGGGTGCGAGAAGCGCTTGCCGCACTCGGCGCACGCGTGCGCCTTCTCGGCCGCGTGCGTCAGCGCGTGCTGCTTGAGGTTGGAGCGCTGCGAGAAGCCGCGGCCGCACTCGCCGCAGACGTGCGGACGCTCGCCGGTGTGCGTGGCGGCGTGGGTCCTCAGCTTGGAGGGGCACGAGAAGGCCTTCCCGCACTCGGCGCACGCGTGCCGCCAGCCGCCCGAGTGCGTGGCGGCGTGCGCCTTCAGCCGGTAGGGGTCGGCGAAGCCCTTGCCGCACTCGGCGCACGCGAACGGCCGCTCGCCGCTGTGGATGCGCGAGTGCCGCACCAGGTTCGAGTTGCTCGAGAAGGCGCGGCCGCATTCGGCGCATTCGTGGGACGCCCGGCGTTCCGCCTTGGCACCGGCACCGGCGCGCCGCGGCGCCGGCGGCGTTGGCGGCGTCTCCGGAGGATCTCCGAGCGGCTCGCCGCAGCGCACGCAGCCCCCCGGCGTGCGGCCGCCGGAGTCGTCGCCGCCGTCGTCGCCGCCGTCTGTGTCGCCGCCGCGTGGCTCCGCGTCAAAGTATCCCCCGGGGTCATCGGCGCACGCGGCGCACAGGCGTCCACCGTCCCGCTCGTCCGTCGCTTCGCCTGCAACGACGCAGACATCCGGGCGAGAGTTCAAACCCCGCTCGGCGCCGCCCGCCCACCACACGCAGACGCACGGAGACTCGTCAACGACGACAGCCGCCCTCCGCCACTAGGTGGCGGTGACGTCACCACCGCTAGGTGGTGACGTCACCACCGCTAGGTGGCGGCGACGTCACTACCGCTAGGTGGCGGCGACGTCACTACCGCTAGGTGGCGGCGACGTCACCACCGCTAGGTGGCGGCGACGTCACCACCGCTAGGTGGCGGTGACGTCACTACCGCGGCGCACGTGGCAGGAGGTCACGGGACAGACCCGGCTGGTGCCGTGGGTCGACTCTACTCGGATGACCGGCAGACGCCCCACCACCTGTGCCCCCCGCCCCCCCCCCACCGCGCCAAACTCGCTGCGTTTTATCCGCCCGGCGCTCCGCTCGTTGTTGTGAGCGTCGCTCCTCCGCCGTCTTTTGTTGCCACGGGGAGACTGCCTCCAACTGCCCAGAGGCTCCTTGAACTACGTGGTCAGCAACAGGCGGTGGCGATGATGTCACGCAGGGCAGTCTGCACGCCGAAGACGACCGCTTGCGTTGCGATCGAAACGTCGTGATATTTTACTTTTCGTTTTATTTCATTTTTCTACCTACGTGCCTTTAGTTTTTTACGTGGTGGTTTAGTAACTGCAGCTACATACTATTAACATTCCTTCCCTTTGTTAATGCTACCCCCTATACCCTCCCTTTGATGCTGCTAATCCTGCATAATGCACGGGCATAATATGACTTTGAAAACCCCCGCCCACCTCCTACGCATTTCAAAAGTAGTACTAATCCCATATCTGCATTTCCCATAAATATGCTAAATTCCTCTTGATATGCAAACCCATTGTTGTCAAGGCACTCTTCTCCCACCAACCCAGCTTAAATATACGCTCCAAGCTTGGTGGTGTTTCATTCTTCACCTGAGGACGGCTGCTTGCGTTGTGGCCGAAACGTCGTGAGAATTATTTTATTACGTTTAATTTTTTATTATTTTATTATTTCCCTTCTACGTGACTTTACCGAAAGAACCAAGAAGATGGCTCCCTCAGCAGTTTTCTTGGGAGGTCATCTCTGCTCCCGGCGCTTTTCCCGATCTCAAGACCCTGAACCGCCTTGCGCAACTCGCTCAACAGATGGCACCTCAAGGCAGCCATTCGCAGTGCTTCATCTTCTTGGTTCTTTCGGTAAAGTCACGTAGAAGGGAAGTAATAAAATAATAAAAATAAAACATAATAAAACAAAAAATTCGCAGTGCTGTTAGCCCCAGCCGACAACACTGGCCCCAACAGCCCAACAGAGGCTACGCGGGTGGAATCTCCGTGCGTGTCCGTGTCTGTGCGTGCGTGTCCGTGTCTGTGCGTGCATGTCCGTGTCTGTGCGTGCGTGTCCGTGTCTGTGCGTGCGCTTTGCATGGCGGCAGAATGAAATGTGGGCGCCCTTCCCACCTTTGCAAATATCTTCATCCGACAGCTCCACCTCGATAAAGTTTTGGTCCTCGGTGGCCGGATCTCCGTGGTGACCTTCCGGCTCTTCCGGAGTGTCGCTCTCCTCCTCCTCCACTTTGACGATGCTCAAGCACGGAACTGCGAATCGACACCACGGAAGGCGGCGCGTCCGCGTGTCAACGCTCCGGAGGCCCGTGTCTACGGGGAACTTCTCTCGCACCGTACGTAGCCACCCGCGCTGATCGCAGGTGTAGGGACAACAAACTAAACACAACGACGACGACAACAACAAGCAGTTCTAAATAAATTAGTTGGTCAATCTAGTTGGTGATGTTTTCTTGGTTCTTTCGGTAAAGTCACGTGGGTAAAAAATAAAGAATAAAAATAATAAATAATAGAAATAAAATAATAAATCACGACGTTTCGGAGGCAACACAAGCTCTTTACTTGATACAGCAATCGTGCTGTGACGGTTCCACCTGAAGACGGAAGCTTGTGTTGCCTCCGAAACGTCGTGATTTTTTATTTTATTTCAATTTTTTTTCTTTTACCTACGTGACTTTACCGAAAAAAACCTAAGAGTATACATTATTATTTTATTATGCCTGTATTGGCAGGGAGAGCGTTCCAGACGGCCGCAGAAGCGCATCTGAAAGCGCCACGCGGTGACCACTGTGTTTGTGCGATGGCTCAGCCAAGAGCCGCTGCTGCGACGATCGTGATCGTAGGTGGCGTGATGGTTGATGTTTCTTGACGAGATCAGCCAAGGCACTGCGGTTCATTTCTGGCTAGCGTGTAATGAGCGCAACCGTGCGTGGTGCGTGTGGTGGTGCGTGTGGTGGTGCGTGTGGTGGTGATTGTGGTGTGTGGTGGTACGTGTGGTGGTGCGTGTGGTGGTGCGTGTGGTGGTGATTGTGGTGTGTGGTGGTACGTGTGGTGGTACGTGTGGTGGTGCGTGTGGTGGTGCGTGTGGTGGTGCGTGTGGTGGTGCGTGTGGTGGTGCGTGTGGTGGTGCGTGTGGTGGTGGTGCGTGTAATGAGCGCGACCGTGCGTGGTGCGTGTGGTGGTGTGTGTGGTGTGTGGTGGTACGTGTGGTGGTACGTGTGCATGGTGCGTGTGCATGGTGCGTGTGGTGGTGTGTGGGGTGTGTGGTGGTGCGTGTGGTGTTGTGTGTATGGTGCGTGTTGGTGATGTGTGCGTGGGGAGTGTGGTGGTACATGTGGTGGTGGTGTGGTGGTACGTGTGCATGGTGCGTGTTGGTGGGGTGTGCGTGGGGCGTGTGGTGGTGTGTGTGGTGGGGCGTGTGTGTGGTGGTGTGTGTGTGGTGGTGTGTATGGTGCGTGTGGTGATGCGTGTTGGTGATGCGTGTTGGTGGTGCGTGTTGGTTGGTGCGTGTTGGTGGTGCGTGTGGTGACATGCGTCTCCCAGGGTGAAGCTCACCGCAGCTTCCCTCTTCGTCCTTCACCGCCAGCGCCGCCGCCGCCGCCGCCCGCAGAGTCTCAGCGCTGGGCTTCTCCTCTGCGTCCCACTCACTCCACAGCGCTGGCACGGCATGCGAGATGAGCGTCGTGAACAGCAGCAGTAGCAGCAGCAGCACCAGCAGCAGCAGCACCAGCAGCAGTAGCATCAGCAGCAGTAGCATCAGCAGCATCATCAGCAGCAGCAGCAGCACATGAGCCACTTCGTTGAACTATCATTTGTAAATAGCCCGGTCGCTTCTGGCACGTAGCTACCTCGCCGAGTGGGACCTTACCTGGTCAAATAAAATTAGTTTCGTTGAAAAAATATAAATATAGTTGTATAAATTTCGCTTTAAAGCTTTCGTGACTGCAGGGATTCATCTTCTTGGTTCTTTCGGTAAAGTCACGTAGAATGGAAATAATAAAATAATAAAAATAAAACATAAAAAAATAATTCTCACGACGTTTCGGCCACAACGCAAGCAGCCGTCCTCAGGTGGAGAACAGGTCTGTCGAGATTGACAGAAGACAGAGTCTGAATGACCTGTTCTCCACCTGAGGACGGCTGCTTGCGTTGTGGCCGAAACGTCGTGAGAATTATTTTATGTTTTATTTTTAAATCCTTTATATTAAGTTCACTTGCTTGCTTGCGCGCTTACGACCGTGCAAATCTTTCGGTCGTTTTTTAACCCACTTCCCTTGATCCAATCGAGCTGACATTTTGCACACAGACTCGTTGTGCGTGACAATTTATTTTCGTGAAAATTTTTTTCCATAACTTTACACTTTTTAGGAAAAAAAAAATTATTATATTTAATTACCAATTGCTTAATGGTGGCAGCCATCTCAAGCCAGAGGACGAGAGGACTCTAGCCACCACGCATATAAAGGATTTATAGTGAAAAACTTTGTTTTTACGGGTAAATCTTTTATTACTTTATTATTTCCATTCTACGTGACTTTACCGAAAGAACCAAGAAGATATAGTTGTATAGTTCACGACGCACCGCACCGGTGAGACGCGTGGAGCTCACCGGCGGCGGCATCGCCGGAGTCTCCGCGTCGCTCCGCCGAGCCCAGGAGACGAGTCGACCGCGTCGCGCTCTCGCTTGATGGACGGGAACGCGACGTGGGGCTCCATCTGAGAAGCGGAGCAAAACGAAGGGGGGTGGGGGGGGGAGGGTAACGTCGCCCTCTTAGCGGGCGCAGTTGAGAATTCGGGCAAGCGCCACCCCGGCCTGAAACAATCGGCAGGCGAACTCCGGTCGCCTTTCCCGCAGCAACAGCAGCAGCAGCAGCGGCAGCAGCAGCAGCAGCGGCAGCAGTAGCAGCAGCAGCAGTAGCAGCAGCAGCAGCACCAGCAGCATCAGCAGCAGCACAGCAGCAGCAGCAGTAGCAGCACCAGCACCAGCAGCGGCGGTGGTGACGGCTTTTGGCTACTGGCATCGAACAAAGATGGCGGCCATCGAACAAAAATGGCGGCCGCTGTGCACGCGTCCGGACGCGCTTCCGTCCGATAACACAGGTCAAAAAAAGAAAATTCTGGCCTGGACTTTTGCAGCTGTTTTAGACTAATTTCAGGGTGCCGATTCCAAATGTGATCTCAGATTTGCTCTATCACATCTCATTTTTATGCTATCGGCATACCCCGTTTTCATTGATTTTACCCGGAATTAACTCCGTCACTTATGATTGCGAGTTGTTGCGAGTCAGCGACTGCTTTAGTGTTAAAATATGGTGCTGTATTTTTAGGATAGTGCGTTTATAATATCATTTTATGTAGATATCCACATCTATTTAATATTTTTCTTCTGCAGTTTTTATTGAAAATGCAATATTTGATATCTCAAAAACCTGATGTGATAGACAAAAACTGATGCCAGATTTGAAACCGTTGGAATACCTTATGCCAGAAAAAGTGTGTTGACCAGTGTTATTAATTCGAGGAAGTCCCTGGAGCTATGATGCACTTTTAAATCATCATCATCATCATCAATCTGGATTGACGAACTTCAGGCTGGCCTGCCGACAATCCATCCTGGGTCAACCCACGGCACCGGGGTCTGTCCCGTGACCTCCTGCCAGCGAGCCTTCGACACATCACGTGGCCTCAGCGTGCATGTGGCCTGGTACGAGCGCCGTGGTAACATCACCGCCACTTAGTGGCCAATTGCAGCTTCTGTTGTTGTCGTGGCCAGTACGATGCCCGGCTGCCTTTGTCTCCCCATTAATGATGTTTACCCACTGCACCATATATTTCGTTCCGATACGAGGAAGCAACTGGAGCTATGAACTAATAAATTATCTCGATTAAAAACTAAGTTCTTCATAAACTGCGTTTTGTCTTTAGTTTGCTGCTCTTCCTCCGCACCTCCGATTAGCGCGGTTGGCTACGTACGGTGCAAAATAAGTTCAACAGACACACACAGACACAACAACCGCCATTCTCCACTAAGTGGCGGTGACATCACCACGACGCTTGTGCCAGGCCATATGCACCTTGAGGCCACATGAAGTGTCGAACGCCCGCTGACAGGAGGTCACGGGGCAGACCCAGGTGCCATGGGTCAACTGACCGAGATGACCGAAATGACTGCCTGATGCACCACCTGTGCCCCCTACTGTGCCAACTTGCTGTGCTTTAGCCACCCGGCGCTCCGCTCGTTGTTGTGAGCGTCGCTCCTCCGCCCTCCGTTGTTGTTGGAGGGCGACTGCCTCCAACTGCCCAGTAGCGTCCTTCACAAGCCTCCTCCACAGAGGCCGATCTTGACACCGCTGGTACCGGTCATCGGCAAGTCCTGCTCAGCTCTACGTCCTCCTGTACCACATCACTCCATCTCTTTTCTAGCCCGTGCCGCGCCCGTTTAGCCTCCTCGATCCGGCCGAACAAAAGCTGTTTAGGCATGCGGTGGCTGGGCATGCAGGCTACATGATCCAGCCAACGCAGCCTTGCCTGCCGGAGGAGCTCACTAATGGGACTTTGTCCAGATCTTTCAAGGATCTGAGCTCCTCACACAATCCTGTCTGCACGCAGTACACACACACATACAGATTACATATACACACAGTACACACACACAAATAACATATCCACACCGTACACAAATACAGATTACATATCCACGCAGTACACACACACAGATTACATATACACACAGTACACACACACACTACATAAACACAGTACACACACATGACATATACACACAGTACACACACACTACATAAACACAGTACACACACATTACATATACACACAGTACACACACACCACATATACACAGTACACACACAGTACACACACACTACATGTACACATACACACACATTACATGTACACATACACACAGTACACACACACTACATGTACACACACAGTACACACACACACACTACATACACACAGTACACACACAGTACACACACACACTACATAAACACAGTACACACACATGACATATACACATACACACAGGACAGACGCACAATGTAACCCAAGGCCTAGGCACACACGCATCATCATCATCAGCCAGTCAATCCACTGCTGGATGATTCAATTACAAAGACAAAGATCCCCCGTGTAGCCTCAACAGACTGAAGGGGCAAGTGCTGTTAGCGAGCAGCCCCTACAAAGACAAAGATCCCCCGGGTAGCCTCAGCAGACTGAAGGGGCAAGTGCTGTTAGCCAGTAGCACCGACAAAGACAAAGATCCCCCGGGTAGCCTCAACAGACTGAAGGGGCAAGTGCTGTTAGCGAGTAGCACCGACAAAGACAAAGATCCCCCGGGTAGCCTCAACAGACTGAAGGGGCAAGTGCTGTTAGCGAGTAGCACCTACAAAGACAAAGATCCCCCGTGCAGCCTCAACAGACTGAAGGGGCAAGTGCTGTTAGCGAGTAGCTAGAGCAGCACCACGCCCGCCCCGGCCGCCTTTGTCTCTTTGACGTCATCATCCTTCTAGCTTGAGAGAGAGAGAGAGCCGCATCACGCTGGAGACAGCCGCATCACTCGCGGGGAGAGAGAGTAGAGAGAGAGAGAGGAGAGAGAGAAAAAAAGAGAGTGGAGAGAGAGAAAGGAGAGGAGAGAGTGGAGAGAGCCACCACCACCATCAGCACCACCACCATCACCACGACCACCAGCACCACCATCAGCACCACCACCATCAGCACCACCATCAGCACCACCACCATCAGCACCACCACCATCAGCACCACCACCACCAGCACCACCATCAGCACCACCACCATCAGCAGCACCACCACCATCAGCACCACCACCATCAGCACCACCATCAACACCACCATCAGCACCACCACCATCAGCACCACCATCAGCACCATCACCACCACCGCCATCACCACCACCACCACCATCAGCACCACCACCATCAGCACCAGCACCACCGCCATCACCACCACCACCACCATCAGCACCACCACCATCATCATCAGCACCACCACCATCATCACCACCACCACCATCAGCACCACCGCCATCACCACCATCACCACCACCATCAGCACCATCAGCACCACCATCACCACCATCACCATCACCACCACCATCAGCACCACCACCATCACCACCATCACCACCATCACCACCACCACCATCATCACCACCAGCACCACCATCACCAACACCACCATCACCATCATCACCACCATCACCACCACCACCACCACCATCATCACCACCATCATCACCATCATCACCACCACCATCATCACCACCACCATCATCACCACCACCATCACCACCATCACCACCACCACCATCATCACCACCATCACCACCACCACCACCACCATCATCATCACCACCATCACCACCATCACCACCATCACCATCGTCACCGTGAGATGTGGAGCAGGCGTCGCGAGCAGAGGCCGCGGAGACGAAGACGAGGGGGGAGGGGGGAGGGGCAGGAAGAGGAGGGGCGGAGGGGGAGGAGCTACTCCACTTGCCCCTCCCACTGCCCCCCCCCCCTCCTCCTCCCCCCCTCCTCCTCCCCCCCTCCTCCTCCCCCCTCCTCCTCCTCCTCCCCCCCTCCTCCTCCCCCCCCCTCCTCCTCCCCCCTCCTCCTCCTCCTCCCCCCCTCCTCCTCCGTCCCCCCTCCTCCTCCCCCCCTCCTCCTCCGTCCCCCCTCCTCCTCCCCCCCTCCTCCTCCCCCCCTCCTCCTCCCCCCCCTCCTCCTCCTCCTCCCCCCCTCCTCCTCCTCCTCCCCCGCCCCTCCCGCTGTGGAGACAAAGGCGGCCGGGCGTGGTGCTGGTGCTGGTGGTGGTGCTGGTGCTGGTGGTGGTGATGGTGATGGTGCTGGTGGTGCTGGTGCTGGTGGTGGTGCTGGTGGTGGTGCTGGTGGTGGTGATGGTGGTGGTGCTGGTGGTGCTGGTAGTGGTGGTGCTGGCCACCCCCCCCCCCCCCTCGTGGTGTAGCCACAGGGCCGCCGGCAGCCTTCACAGCTGCTGCTGCTGCAGCTGCTGCTGCAGCTGCTGCTGCTGCTGGTGCTGCTGGTGCTGCTGCTGCAGCTGCTGCTGCTGGTGCTGCTGCTGCTGCTGCAGCTGCTGCTGCTGCAGCTGCTGCTGCTGGTGCTGCTGCAGCTGCTGCAGCAGCTGCTGCTGCAGCTGCTGCTGCTGAGTGCTGCTGCAGCAGCTGCTGCTGCTGCAGCTGCTGCTGCTGGTGCTGCTGCTGCAGCAGCTGCTGCTGCTGCTGCAGCTGCTGCTGCTGCTCCTCACAGCGCTTCGTGCCCCTGCAGCCTGACACGGTCGGCTCCGCACGGCGCGAAAGTCACGCAACAATCACTCCAACAACAGCCCGTGCCAGGCCCGGTGCACTGGGAGGCCACGTGACGTGTTAACGTCTCACAGATGCCGGTAGGAGGTCACGTGACGTGTCAAAGTCTCACAGATGCCGGCAGGAGGTCACGTGACGTGTCAACGTCCCACAGATGCCGGCAGGAGGTCACGTGACGTGTCAAAGTCTCACAGATGCCGGCTGGAGGTCACAGGACAGACCCAGCAGGTGCCACTGGTCGGCTGACTGAGATGAGTGGCTGATGCACCACCAGCGGCCCCTATAGTGCCAAATCGCTGCGTTGTATCCGCCCGGCGCTCCGCTCGTTCTCAATCATTCTCGCCGACTCTGGACACTCGCTGACCGACTCCACCGTCCTCTTCCGTCACCTGACCACGCTCCCTTCTCGATCATTCCCGTAGCCACCAGTCCCTTCGCAGTCACAGCTGACTCCCCTGTCATTACCTCCCGTGGCCATCAGTCCACTCACACTGCAGACTGACTCCCCTGCCATTACCTCCCATAGCCACCAGTCCCTTCACACTCACAGCTGAATTCCCTGTTATTACCTCTGTAGAGGTGATACGCGCTGGGATTAAGGATCGTATGCACAGTGCGTGATGATTGGCTGTGTAGGTGGTGACGCGCGCTGACGGTGGAGGATCAGGGGTCAGCGCGGGGTCGTGGGTTACGGGGTACCGATTGGCTGTGGGCGGTGACGCGCTGAGAGGGAGTGATCAGGTGGCAGCGCAGTGTGATTGGTGGAGTAATGTTAACACGCGCTGGGGAAAGCGGATCGTAGAGAGAGTGCGTCGTGATTGGGTCATTAAGGAACGACGCTCACGTCGACGCCGCATCAGCTCCGTCCCTCGTGAGCAGGGGCTATAAAAGGGGATGCACACAGGCGTAAGGGCAGTGTGTAACCAGCGAAGAAGGAAGACGGGGATGAAGACCTAGAGCCCTGCGGTACCTAGCCCCGCTGTCCTAAGGGGACCGGGACTCTGTGTAACCCAGAGGCGAGTGTAGTGGGTGTAGCCATAGGTCTACACGAGCCGAATGTACTATGTGTAGCCAGGGCATAGGGCTTACACGAGTCGAGTGTATTGTGTAGCCAGAGGCATAGGGCTTACACGAGTCGAGTATATTGTGTGTAGCCAGAGGCATAGGGTCTACACGAGTCAAGTGTATCGGGTGTAGCCAGAGGCCTAGAGCTTACACGAGATTAGTGGAGTGTGTCGGAGGAAGAAGAGAGACCACACGTTGTATTGTGATACCTAAAGGATTTAATAAAAGTGTGTTACCCGTCAAGAAGTTCCTGCCGTCAATTCCCATACTTCAACTGGCGTCAGAAGTGAAACGGTCCTCCAAGCATGGATACAAGGAGGAACCGTCGGACCCACGGGATTGACCACGAGGACAACCTCGACGACGCGGGCCAGCGGGCATCAGGGGGTGAGGAAGAGGAGCTGCCCACGGGGCAGGATCCACCGACGGCGCCGGTCGAGCGACGGGGGACTGACACCGTGCTTCGCGAGGCACACTCCCGTCTGGCGGAGCTGCTGCTCGCCGCCGCGTCCATCTTGGCGGAGATCAGCTCGTCGGGAGGAGCGGGGACGGCGGCGGACGTGCTACAGGGTCGCCCTGCAGATTCCCGCCAAAACGATTTGGCGATTCCCGCCATTTCATCCGCTCCAACTTTTGGCGGGAACGGCCATCACCACGTGGCAGCGGTTCTCCATGCGCGGCCGCTGACGTCACCAACGCGCGCGGCGGACCGCCATCACACACCCGCCACTGGGGCCGCCATCTTACACACCGACGGGGGGGCAGAGAGGAAGCACGAGGAGGAGGACGACTTTATCTTTCAGCAGCGCCTTCCCACGTTGTCAGCATTCAAGGCGGAAGGCGGGGATTGGAGCCAATTTCAGCGCAGATTTTTGGCGCATCAAGAGATGTCCGCCTGGTCCGACGCTACGGCACTGCGGGCACTGCCTGCCATGCTGGACGACAACGCGCTCGCGGCCTTCACGTCCGCACGCAGGTCGGACCGCTCCACGCTCAAGGATGCGCTGGCTCTCATGGCCAAAGTCTACGGTCCTCCCTCGGCGTGCCGCCATCATTTCTACGCAAGACGGAAGGCGGACACGGAGACCGTGCTCGCCTACCGCACGGCGTTGCTCGCTCTCGCTGACGCCGCGTTCCCTCGTATGGACGAGGAGGGCCAAGATGCGATGGTTTTGGAGCAGCTGCTCAAGTTGGCGCAGGACCTGGGGGTCCCCATCAACACGGCCGACGACACCGATATTTCTTCATTACGGGTCGCCACGAGCATGCAAGCGCACGAGGTCCTTCAACAAAAGCAGGGGGTCGTCTGCAACGCTGCCGTGGCCTCAACTCCGGGTCCGGTTGACACCGTGCCCCAAGTCGTCAGCCCACGAGAGGACGCGTTCATCGCGGGACGAGCGGGGGACTGGAGGTCGGGGGGTCGTTCGCCTCTGCGAGCGGCCCGCAAGCTGGAGCAACCGAGATCTCCGACTACTGTCATCACCTGCTATAACTGCGGCCTTCGTGGCCACGTGGCCTCCGGTTGCCGCGCCCCACGTCAGCGCGCCATGGGACCTCGGCTGGACGACGACCAAGGCCCCAAGTCATCACTGCAAACCCCGGCAAGTCGCGGCACCTCACATGCTTGGCCCGCATACTCGACACGTATGGGTCGTCGCGTTGCGACGAGGGAGAGCCGAGTAGAGTTCGGGGATTCGGTTCGGAGAGGGGGGTTCGGCCGGGACCGGGGAGACATTAAATGGTCGGAATTGGGGCACAGAATAGTGGCTGCCTCAGCGGGTTCATCCGTCGTTACCGGATCGATTGATGGGGTCGAGGTCAGGGTGTTAGTGGACACGGGGGCATCGGCGACTATTATTTCGGATCTCATTTATAATATTCTCCCGGTACAAAGTCGTCCGCTTCTTCCGGTGGATGTGCCATTTTACGCCGCTAACGGGGGATCGTTGGGCATTATCGGTCAGATTAGGGCGTCCATTTGCATTGGTGATATCAAATTGTCGGGACCCGTTTTCGTTTCATCTTCCCTGGCGGTTCCTTGCCTATTGGGCACTGATTTTTTGGCGAAAATGCCCATCAAAATTCTCATTGATCAGCGTTGCATTGAACTACCATCGGGTCGCCGTATTTCATTTTTGACGAGCCCTAATGTAATTCGGACGGCGTGCGCTACCATTCAGGCGTTAGCAACACAGACCGTGCACGTGCCCCCGGGTTCACAAATGTTGATTCCCCTCCGGTTACGGAAGCCATGGGGGAAGGAGGCCTCGGAACAGGCCATGCTTTTGGGTCCTTCTAATAGGGCTGTTGGAGGTCTCGATTTATCGGTGGCTCACACTTTGGTTGGGGCAGACAGGGATCCGTTTGTCATGGTTTTAAACGCTGGGGCGCGGCCGGCCGTCATTCAGCAGGGCACCGTGCTGGCTCACGCGGCACGGGTCCCTGCGGAGGAGAGGCTGGTTGCGCAGGCTGATCCGAGCCCCACGAATAGCGTACCATCAAAGGAGGACCTAGATTGGATTGATATGCTGTGCGCGGACTCTGACGATTTGTCAGCGCTACAGTTGGGTGCGTTGCGCGGGTTGCTGATTGAATTTTCGGATGTCTTCAGTAAACATAAGTATGATATCGGATGCACGGACCTGCTACGCCACCACATTGAAACGGGCGATGCGGCACCGGTCAGGCAAAATCCCTTCCGACTGAGTCCTGCTGAGAAGGAACATGTTCAGTCGGCAGTTAACGATATGCTGGAAGCCGACATTATTTCGCCTTCTTCCAGTCCTTGGGGAGCACCTATTGTGCTCGTTAAAAAGCAGGACGGGTCCCTGCGATTTTGCGTCGATTTCCGCCGCCTGAATAAGATCTCGGTGGCCGACGCGTATCCGCTCCCCAGGATGGACGAGTCTCTCGACGCATTGTCCGGTGCGCGATACTTTTCGACTCTTGATTTATTGTCCGGATTTTGGCAGTTGCCACTCGACGAGGAGTCTAAGCCTAAGACTGCATTCCGGACTCCAGGGGGCCTGTTTCAGTTTAACCGGTTACCCATGGGACTTCACTCCTCTCCTGCGACGTTTCAGCGTCTTATGGAATTGGTTTTGTCGGGCTTGCAGTGGGAGACGTGCCTCATTTACCTTGACGATGTCATTGTTTTCGGTAAAACGTTCGAAGAACACCTCCAGCGATTGAGAGGGGTGTTCTTGCGAATGCGATTGGCTAAATTAAAGTTTAAACCGGCCAAATGCCATCTTTTTCGTAAATCCGTGAGGTACTTGGGTCACATTGTCGACTCTTCGGGGATTTCTACCGATCCTGCGAAGACGGACTGTGTCAGTTCGTGGCCGACGCCCACGTCAGTGTCAGACGTGCGCAGTTTCATCGGTTTTGCTTCGTATTATCGCCGATTCGTTGAGCACTTCGCCACCATTGCAAAGCCCTTGCACGCTTTAACGGCAAAAGGAGTGAAGTTCCGGTGGGGACCGGAGGAGGAGGCTGCATTCTGCTCCCTCCGGGACGCCTTGGTAAGGGCCCCACCCTTGTGCTATCCGGACTTTGAGAGTCCCTTCTTGCTAGACACGGATGCTAGCAACACGGGCATTGGGGGAGTGCTGTCCCAAGTCGTTGGAGGGGTCGAACGGGTGGTCGCCTATGGTAGCAGGGTGTTGTCGCCGGCAGAGCAGCGGCTACTGCGTCACCCGTCGTGAACTACTTGCCATTGTTTTTTTTGTACAACAATTCAGGCCATATCTCTATGGTCGTCATTTCACGGTCCGGACGGACCATGCGGCGCTCCAGTATTCATTACGGGTTGCCCAGCCCTCGGGCCAATTGTCGCGGTGGTTGGAAGTCCTCCAGGACTATCAGTTCACGACTACGTACCGTAAAGGGTTGCGACACACGAATGCCGATGCCCTGTCGCGGTTGTTGCCTTGTCACAAATGTGCGTGCTTATCGGGATCGGCGCGCTGTAAACCTCCGGTTACGGAAGGTAGGGAGGCGTTGGTTGCGACCGCGAGCACACCAATTGGGGATGGTCCCGCTACCCCAGGGGGTCAGGACTCGCTGCTCTCACTGTCGTTGATTGAGTGGGGCCGTCTCCAACTGGCGGACAGCTCCCTGCTGGCATTGCGCCGAAAGACGGAGGGTTCCGAAGGTAGCCACGACCGAACTGGCTCCTACGAGCTTAAGCAGGGCCTGTTGATGAGATGGGACAGTTTGTCCCGGCGGCATGCGATTGTGGTGCCTTCTGCTGTGAGGGGGAAGGTTGTC